AACCATATATTTTGTCTTATCCGTGTTTATTTCGAGCCCTAGTTCTTTACCAGCTTTCATTAACATTGTATTTAGTTTTATAGTTTCTGTGTCTTCGCTTAACAGGACCAAATCATCAGCATAGCCAAGCACAGGTGTCGGTCCACCCAGATCCAATCCTTTTTCGGTATGCATTACCTCCCTAATGGCATGTTATAATATCAAATTGAACAGGACAGGTGAAAATGAATCACCATGTTTTTAACCTGAACAAGTTTCAAACTTTTCGGACAAATTATTACCGGAACTTAAAAAAAACAAAATTAATTCTTCTCCTAAAAATTAATTGTGGCCAACATATTTATTACTGTGTTTCCAATTTATAATAATGAGCTGTTTTATAATTCCATCTAAACTAAAGCAAGGGATAGAATTTAATAAAATTTGATAATGCCTCCCTCCAACTTTATGCCAAATCGAACAAGCCATTTTTTAAATATAAGTAAATAAATATTTTTTAAATATCAATTTATTATTCATTGATATAAGCGAAAATCCTCCTGCAGTCTACTTCTCATGACTCCTCACATGGAATACTTGTTCGTTGAAATTTCTTTTACCTCTTCTCTGTTATTTGCTGTAGTTTACCGCCCTCCTCGTCTTCCATTGGATAACTTCTTTGAATCCTCCCTGGTCAACCTGGTTTCCCATTACAACAATAATATTATCACTGGCGATTTTAACGTGAATATGCTTTCACAATCTGAAAAATACTTCCTAACTGACCTACTGTTTTCCCTTAATCTTTAATCTTTATCTTGTTCCTTATTTTTATTTCCATCACATACAAGTTTTCGACACCTGGTTAGACCTCTACATCTCTGACTCTCACATCACATGACCTGATCCAAATTACATACGACCTACCCGTGAAATCCTTTACTCCCAAAATGGTTTCATACCGTAAATTAAACCTTCTCTTCTATGAATCCCTTTAACCTGACCTTTCCATGGGACATCATATGTTCCTATAATTCCATTGATCCTAAGTATCTATCCTAACCTCAAATCTACAATCCTTATTAGACACCATCGTCCCATTGCACCTTGGATGACTCCTGAAATAAAGGAAATGATGAAAAGAAGGGATGCAGTAAGGCGGCAAATACTGTCGAGCCCGTTAGCCTGCTGATTATGCGTCTTTCAAGGAACTTCGCAATGGAACCCAATCCAAAATCCGACTTGCTAAAGCCACCTACTTTCATAATGCCCTTTCCAATGCTCCCGATTCCAAATCCAAATGGAAAATACTCCCTATCCATACCAAAATCCAATAAACTCAGTTCCATCCCGGTGGCTTCAGATGATCTCAATGACCATTTCTTATCCTTCACTCACAATTCTCTTACTTTCGATATTATACATTACAATTTCAATCCTGAAGACTTCTTTTTCTCCCATGTGACCACTATCCTAAAATCCCACACTAATGATAATGATCCTGATAATATCCCAGTAAAACTAATAAAATCCAGCCTTCCCATCCTTATTCTTGTTCTTTCCCGTATATATAATTTTTCATTGCAAAACTCCGTCCATATTCCCATCCTCCTGGAAAACTGCCCTAGTCCGACCTTTGAATAAAATTTCCAACCCTACCTCACTTCACGATTTTCGTCCTATTTCTCTCCTATCAAACTTTTCAAAGCCGTTAGAATCTTCTAAGCCGTCTGTCCAAAATCAACTCTCTAACTTCCTAGAGGAACGTTCCCTTATCAACTCATTCCAATCTGGCTTTTGACCTGGCTACTCAATGCAACTCTTCTGATTGATCACTCCCAATACCATATCTATGCAGATGATTTCCAAATATACCTGTCCTTCCCGCCCTCCGACATATTATCAGCCACATAAAAACTTCAAGACTTGGATAGGATTTGTGACTGGGCGAGAGCTAACAAGTTGAAGTTGAAAGTGGAAAAGGCAAATGCAATCTTAATAGGCTCCAATCATTTCCTTAAAACTATTCCTAATATTCCAACTCTGTTCCTTCATGATAATCCCATCAAACTTTATCCCTTTATCAAAAATCTTGGAATAACCTTTGATCAAACATTTTCCTGGAAAACGATGTTTCCAGTATCTCCTGCCATATCATTTCCACCTTAAAACGTCTAAATTACTCCCATCACCTATTTCCTCTTGAAACCTGTAGGCTCCTAGTCACTTTCTTATTTTTCCCCTCTTGTGACCATTGCTGTGCAATAGAGAGGCGTCTCTGGGATCTCGAGGGGAACTGATTGTTATGTACGATTCGTCTTCGGGATCCCAGGGGACATCTCTGTTTCCCGCTTTATGCAGAGTTGAAGTGGCTTTATCCTTCCTACAGTTGTATGTATTTCCTGGCATCCTTCCGCTTTCAAGTCATCCAACCCCACCGCCCTTTATACATCTCTGAGCTCCTTCAAATCAAATATGCTGTTCGTTCCCGCTCTTCTGATCTATACATAAGTCCCACCGAACTACTGCTTTCGACAGATTGTCCATTATATGATCCTCATCCCTATGGAACTCCATCCCTTCCCTCATCCATCAATCTAATGCCCTTCCTACCTTTAAATCCCACCTCTTCAATCATTTCTTATCCATCCAGTCCCCATAAAATTATAAGTAGATAATTTAGTATATCCTAAATCCTACATTTTATATGTTTTAGCAGAGTATAAATTGGTTCATGTTTTCGGTTGCAATTTAATTGCTTACATCATTTTATTTTAAAAAGAATATGTGTTTTTATTTTTAATGTGAACAAATTTTGGATGATTTAATAAATACAATTCAAAATAAATGTTTTAATTCATTTATTAAATCATCCAAAACTTGTTCACATCAAAAATAAAAACACATGTTCTTTGTAAAATAAAATGATTTAGGCAATTAAATTGCAACAGAAAACATGACTAATTTACCCTCTGCTAAAACACATAAAATATAAGATTTAGGATATACTACAGATACTACTTTAAATATGTATATAAATTATTAGATCGTTCTGCCTTATTTTTACTTCATGTTTATTTTCAACTTTTTATTATTAACTGATTTTAGTTATCAGGTAACTTATAAATTTTTTTATTATGACTATTTAATTACTCTGTGTTTTGCTTCCTCACTACCGAAGATAGGGAAGCATTGCATTATTGTTGTGCTCAGAATCGAAAATTTCCGTTTCAGAAATCAAGGATCAATTTTGGTCCGGTGTCTGTCTGTAGTCAAATTGATGTAACGGGCATATCACCTACTACCGTTCATCCAATTTTCATGAAATTATCAGGAATTGTGTGGCTTGGTGTCTAGGTGGACAATTATGCCACTTTATATCAACGCTGAAAAACATTTTTACAATTTTCTCAAAAACGGCTCTAACGATTTTGATTAAAGGGGGTGTATCATTGTATAATTAAATGGTCTTTAATATCATTTAGGTCTTATCCCTGTTGATGTCAAGGTTTAAATGCCCAATGTTCATATATGTCTTCCTCTAAAGTAACTTTAATGTGGTTCATTTCAAATAATTAACTATTTCTCATTATTAAAAGTTACGAAAAAATCCTAAATATAACTTTTAAAAGAATTTGATAATTGAATAAAGGAGAAAAAAATAAAAAAGCTTATCCAGGTCGAAAATAAATCTTCAGTAATACTAGTCAGAAGGTATATGTATAATATATCGTGGGGAAGCGGAGAATTTTAGAAAAAAAAAACAATATCTAATATAGAAAGTTGTAGAAGGTAACGGAGAGTAGTAAAAAAATTATAAATAATAATTTTTGAAAACTAATATCGTTTAATGAAAATCGCATGTTTTCAAAAAAATTATGTATAATTTACTAACTAAATGTAAACTTTTTAGAGTTTAAAATAAATGTTTTAAATCCACCTAATCAAGGCAATGCCATTGTTCAAAAAACTATTTCATGGATGTATAAAGCATGTGTTTATAATCGTAAATACATTTACTGTAGTTTAATAACTCTAGATCTGATAATTAAATAATTAAGTATCAATGTCTGTTTTTTCCGAAAAATCGTCATGTAACTTTTTAGAAAATTAAATTAGTGAATAATTCGATGAATTTTCCCTTTTTGAAATCCCAACATTACCATATCGTCTTCTAAAGTACTTTTAATTTGGTTTATCATAAATAATAACTATTTCTCATTGTTAGGAGATATGGAAAAATATTAAATATGGCTTTTGATAATTGAATAAAGGAGAAAAAAAGAAAAATACTTATCACTTATCCAGGTCCAGAAATAATATTCAGAAGGTAAATAATATCGTTGGAAAGCGGAGAATTTAAAAAAAAAAAATCTAATATAGAATGTTGTAGTAGGTAACGGAACTCTAGATCTGATATTTTATTTTAATAATTACATATCAATGTCTGTTTATTCGGGAAAAAAAAAATGATCATGTAACCTTTTAAAAAATTAAATTACTGAATTATTTGATTAATTTTCTCTTTGTGCAATCCAAACATTATCCGCTTTAAATTAGTGTAAAAACTTTTGACCTGTCGATGGCAGGCAATGAAAATCTCGTAATTTCTTTGTAGTAAAATTTACAATGGAAAATAAAAGTTTAATAACTAATAGGCGTACAATCCATAACCATTTATAGGTTGAATATTCAGATATGCTTTCAAATCTCTCTAGGCATATATATATATATATATATCTCAGAGACTAGAGTTATGTGGTTTACAAAAACAGATGGAGTACTGAGGTTTTTACTGTCTACCGTTGATATAATTAATAGAGGTTTTGTTATTTTAATGGTTTTAATGATTTGTAGGCTGTAAACTTTAAGCTATAGCTTCTTTAAAAGTGCACTTCAAAAATTTTATAATTGCTTAACATTGTCAGGAAATAATTTCTATTCAAAATAGAAAGGTAAGTGAAAGTTGTGCATTGCCTGCACCAGATTTTTTTAATTGAAACCATTAATGACTGTTTCAGGTTGATGGAAGCAGGAGCTACCAAAGTCTATGCAATTTTAACTCATGGTATATTTTCTGGTCCTGCCATATCCCGGATCAATAATGCTTGCTTTGAAGCTGTAGTTGTCACAAATACTATTCCTCAAGATGGGCATATGAAGGAGTGTCCAAAAGTGAGAGTAAGTATTTCAGAAAACTAAATGAATCAATGTATGTATTTTATTCCAAATTATAAACAATTAAAACACTTTTTAAAATTTGTTTTCTAGTGCATTGATGTTTCAATGATGTTTGCTGAAGCAGTTCGTCGTACCCACAATGGTGAATCAGTCTCCTACTTGTTTTCAAATGTCCCATACTGAAGTCCTGTTATAATTTTTATTATCTTCTATATCCAGATAATCATTTTCTGGGAAACAAATTTGAATTTTTACTTATTTCTATTTTTTAATGTGTTTACTTGTTAGAAGGAATTCTATTTGATTTCTGATTTATTTTTCTTGTAGGTAGTCATTCCATGAAATTGAAACATTTATTAAAAATGTTATTGTTATTGTAACAATTTAGTTTATTTTTTTAAAACAGACTGCTGTTATGTTTTTTCTTGAATTTCTTTTACAATTTTTTTTTGCCTGCAAATTTTGATCTGTGATTGGTGTTATATTATATTTTAAATAATTCTTTGGTTTGCTAAATAAGTTTTAAAAATAAAATTGTTATTAAAGGTTAGTATTATACAGTTGATTATATATATATAAATATATTTCTTTTTTAGTTAAATTTGTACTTTTTTTCTCTTTTATATGTTTTAATTGTGTTGAATGATTTAGAAACTTATTAGTTTGTGAAATTATCTTGCTAAATCAATAGAAAAGGACATTATGTTTATAATTTTAATCTTGTATTACAATTGATTCAACTTCAAACATTTTATTATTATTAATTTAAGCAATGCTTATTCTGTTTTCCATAAAAAAATACTGTAATATTTTACAACATTGAGGCTTCAATTAATCTCTCCTATATTTCATTTAATCCGTTTATCTAAATGTTGTTATCTTATTTCTTTGAAATGATCTGAAATAGATTTATGTTTTCTTACTAAGCAATCTTATATCTACAACTAGAAGTACATAAAATGTTTGTTTTTTAAATGTACAAAATAAAATAAACAAAACATTTGACGTATTGAACTGACATTTATATCTCTCAATTTGTTCTAGAATTTTAGTCATTTCTATACATGATATATATTTTGTAATTACTACAGTCAAATTATTTTGGTGGTTCAGTATTTGGAAAGAATTTCATTCGAATGTTTAATAAACCTTCCATTTATTCTAGTGATAGCATACCTTCTAAGTTTAGTTTATTAAAAACCAGGACAAAATAATACTAATAATTGGATATTAATTTAAAGTATCAGTATGTTTTAATATTATTTAATTACAATAAGTTCTAAAAAAAAAAAACACATTAAGAGGAAATTAATTAATGAGGGCAGTTGTTTTTCATGGTCCTCAAAAAGATTCATTTGTAATCCATTGAGCCTATTTCTTCTATCACTCTCTCTCCTCTTATCTTAAGAATACAAATTTATTGAATCTCTTTGTTGAATTTTGAATAATGAAAGTAAATGTTAACTGTCCTTGAGAAATAATCATAAGTAAATCATAATATCTTAAATGTCTGTTTTCTTTGATACTTAGGTATGGCATTATTAATTGGTACTGTAAGACCCATTTCACACTTAGTCATCACAGTTTACCTGTTTCCGGTGGCTCTTCTGTTGCACACATTTAAAGAATCAGTTGTTGCTTGATCTCCAATCATGTTATATCTTTAAACAAGGAAAGGATGGCTGAGCACGTAGGAATGCGCATACCAGAGTGCCCAGTCCTGAACGTTATGGGTTCGATTCTCATCTGGGTCAGTTAATTTTCATTTCTCGGTATCCCTGGAAATCTTGGCTTTCCCACTCTAGAAAGTACGTGGCGGCAACCTCAAGATAGCCGTCAGGGGTTGGCAAAAAGGACCATATGGCCTGCTTGTCGGACTAGTTCTCCTCACCAGTACTAGTGTATATCTTTAAACAGGTAGTTTAATCAGCTAATCACCAATTTTTACTTTTGGTAAAATATAAATATATTATAATTGGTACTTTATAAAATGAACTATATATATATATATATATACATATACATACCTCATTGATGAAAAAGTGTTCACCAGACTTCCAGAGAAATGACTCATAGGTATGCTCCCTTCAATTCTTTTTAAAACTTTCAACATATATGTCTTTGGGAATTCTTAAAGTTAAAATCAGCTAACAGCTACAGCCATGTTTAATGTGTTTGCAATATGGTTCCAGCCGCCCCATTTTTCGTATATATTCTTGGGTACTAAACATCAAATCTACTCATTCCAGAACTGCATTCACCAATGAAGAAAGTTTGGGTTGTATCCAGTTAGTCTTTGTTTTAGAATATATTTTTCCATTCTGAGAGAGTTCATCTATTGTTTGAAACAACTATGACAAGGGCATTATCATTTAATCAACATGTAAAGACTAATCCATCACTATAAATGCTTCTCTCGGCATTCTTCAAAGATCATTTTGGTCATATGATAAATAACACCTGTGGTCTTTAATTTAATTCTGCAAATCATTCAACTTTTAAATCCACACCTGAACGGTTTTTCAACGGTTTTTCATAAGTGACCATTTTCAGAAAATGATCACCATACAGGCCGTAATTACACAATGCAAGTCAGGATAATATAGAACCATAAATTAATTAATAATCAATGATTTAAAAGCAGTTTAAATAACAAAGTGTGTTTACTGGCAGGGACAAGAGAAATATGTTAAAACTTGTACATCTAGCAGCACTCTATCTGGCCATTGATCCCGATTGGAAACAAATCTCTACTCTAGTACAAGCAATGAATTCCAATTGATTTTTTTTACAAGAAAGAAATATTGCCGTAATAATCTAATCTAAACTTTTTTTTCAAAAGAGAACAATTTTAATTCCTTTATTTAAAATAAATGATAATTAACAGGAATTTGGAAAAACAATTCTCACTTTTTGCATTCTAAAATAATTTCTGACTTTATTAAAGCTTATAAAAATATTAAATAAGTGTTTACTTGTGATCATTTCTAAAAAATATCAAAACTTTTGTTCCCATTTGAAACAGTGGTCTGTCATCGGGTAAGATAGGTGATAGGTTACATTTATTGTTTGATAAGTGGTATATAATACATTTTTCAAGTTATGTAATTCATCAAATATTCAGGTCAGTTACGATTTTCTTGTACAATTGTACTTTTTTCATAGATTATAAAAATATGACATGCTGCTAGAACAAGAATTCTTCATTTTAAATTTTTTATACTTGAGTTGTGCCATTGTTGTATCAAATAGACTTAGGTAGGTAAAACTGCATTGGCAGTATTTTGTAATGTAAAAAGACATTGCAATGTTGAATAAATTTTAATAAAAAGCTGATAACTATTTGTGTTCATACTTTTTAAAAATAGAATATATTTTGCTGAAAACTTGTTTTTGTAAATTATTTACCTAATCATTCCAATTTTATTTTATCTTAATAATTTTGTGGAGCCAGAAGACTGATAACAGCTAACATCTAGGAACACAACAGTGTTCTTCACCACCAAGCAAATTGCACAAAACATTATTCAAATGTAAATAATTCTGTGAATATCTTATGTTGACATAACAAGTGTACAGGCTTTCGGGGTTGTATGGATACCCAAAAATATCATGTCTTTGAGCTTCAAATTTCACAGATGTAGCTATAATTGAGGAAATAAAACTTTTAAAATGCCATTTTTCCCAGTCAAATTCACTTTTCACGAGGCTATAACGTAAATGGCATAATGTAATGAGTTGAAAATGTTCATCAATATGTTTTGTTCTGCTTTAGTACCTGGACTGTTCATATTATTTGTAAGAAATTCAATTCATAATTTTTTTTTTTGTACTTTTCAGTCTAAAATAAATTTATTGATGAACCTATAGGGATGAAAAGAAGCATGGGTATTTAGGATATTTTGTATCATTGTGGGGACTTCCTTATAAGTTTTAGAAGGAAAAAAATTTTTTTTTCCTGCATATATCAGACCTGTCTGTAATGGCTTTATATAAGCCAGAGGTCGTGATGGCCGAGAGTGTTGGAGGGTTACCCATTTAATTTGTAGCATTCTTGTGCCTAGCGACACTGGTTCGAATCCGGCCTGGGAAGAGTTAACTTCTATTTTGTGGTGAACCCACGGAATGGAACTCGACCTTCCCACTCTAGTTAGAATAGGTTTGGTTGTATCTCTAGAACAACCACTCTGTATGCCAGAAATGGTGGGTAAGAAGTAATCCAATAAATTAAAATCAGAAACAAAGTTGATATGTATGGAAGCAAGTTCACTTCAATCATGTTAATGTTAATACGTAAAATATTCAATCAAAACAGCACATTCTAGATGTTATAAATGCCAGCAATCTATTCATAGATAATTTAACTAGTTCATAATAAGCAGAAAGCTTTATGATTTAACTTTTATAAGCAAAATAATAATATTTCAGGTTCTAAAGCTATAGTCTCAACAACTTTGTTTTATTAGGAATTTTAAAAATCTTCCATGAAAATTTATTTTCCATGGATTAACCTGTAATTAACTCCTAGTTTTGGAAAATATCTTTAAATTGTGAGGTTCCTTCCTACCCACCAATTCGGATTTCGTTCCCAACATTCCTCCGTCCAACAAGGCCTCCGAGTTATTGACCATATATCCTTAGCCCTAGAAAGCAAGAAATATTGCTCGGGTGCATTTTTGGACATTGCGCAAGCATTTGACCGGGTATGGCACACCGGATTGCTCTTCAAGCTTAAAACCTATCTACCTCAGTCCTTATATCTGGTACTTCGATCCTATCTCTCAAACCGCTCCTTTCAAGTCCGCTGTGGAACTGAATTTTCCAAGTGTTATTCAATTCAGGCAGGAGTTCCTCAAGGGAGCGTCTTGGGTCCTATCCTTTATATTCTATTTACCGCTGATATTCCTACTCATCCTGAAACTCTCCTGGCAACATTCGCTGACGACACGGCCATCCTATCTTCTAATTCAGATCCCGAAACAGCATCCTTTAACCTACAAAGTCACCTCTCTCTTATTGAACACTGGTGTAATAAGTGGCGCATCCAAGTAAATGAATGTAAATCCAAACACACCACTTTCGTCCTTCGGTGCAAGTCGTGTCCACCAGTTTATTTCAACTCCATACCACTTCCCCTCTCCGATACAGTTCGATACCTTGGCTTCCTTTTAGACAAAAGACTAACATGGAACCCACATACCAGACTTAAAAGACAACAGCTTAACCGACGATATGGCCAAACTTTCAGTTGAGAACAAACTATTAATCTACAAGACAATCCTGAAACCTATTTGGACCTACGGGCTCGAACTGTGGGGGACATCTAAACTTTCCAACATCAAACGCATTCAATCCTTTCAGTCTAAAGTTCTCCGAACAATAGTCGATGCTCCATTTTATGTAACCAATAAAACCCTACACAATGACCTTAATATCCCATTTGTACTTGACTTAATCCCAGACAAATTTTCCAAATTTCACCAGAATCTCACTCATCATCCTAATCCTGTAGCACAGTCTCTATCTACCTCCAGTCATCCCTACAATCCTCCTCGGAGATTAAAACGGCAGTGGCCCCGCGACCTTTTGTAAAAATGTGTATATTGGAGTACTGGCACTGGCCAGATTCTTCACTCATGTCCTGAGCGTCTGTTGCTCTAGTGCCCTCCATCAGCCTCCACCTATACCATACCAGTGACCCTGGGAGAGAAGCACTGGGATCTCCTGGAGTCCTGCTTTGTCTTCCACAGTTGGGGGACCAAAGCTTGATTCGGATTCCCCTGGGCCAATGTAAATATTGTACATAGGTGTGAATGTGTTTTATTTGTTTTGTTATTTTTTGGCTGATCTGTTGTTTTAATTATCTTGTATATTACTTTATCTTTTTATTTATATATATATATATATATTTTTTTTTTTTTTTTCCCCTTATGTATATATTGTGTGAATGAATACTATAGCCCTAGTACCAATGCCCTTCAGTGTGGCAGACTGTATTAATACTAAATAAAAGTTAAAAAAAAAAAAAAAAAATTATGAGGTTAAGGATATTCACAGGGCAATGCACAATAGTAAAGCAAAGGTAGAGTGAAACCTAAGGTTGATAATCACAGTTAATTTTATTTGGTCAAGTAATTAGGCTATATGAATCTTTTATATATTAACATATAAATCACACTATGTATTTATTAATAATATTCTGACAATATTTGCATTATTTATCATAAATTAGCTATTAATACATTATACATTTAGATACAGTTGTATATATATTTGACTGCTTATGTATTTAAATACACACAAACACAAATATGGATACAATTTTCCAAACATCAATCTTAATATTCCTAAAATGGTTAGAAAGTTTATTAAGACTGTTTAAAAGTCACTAGACAATTTACTGGCAGTTTCTAGTGCTACACGAAATTCTTTTATTTTACTATAACTGATTATAATCTGAAACCTCTTTAACACAGCCAGGAGGTAAACTAATATCAAAAGCTATAGGAGGGTTAACTGGGTTGTAGTTGATGTTACATGTTGAAGCATTTACATAAATTACAGTTCCATCAGTTGTAATACCATAACCTGAAAAATCAAAAATAATGCTTTCATAAAACATATAATCACAGCAATAAGAAAATTTTCATATTGATTAGAGTCACCTGAAACTCCTAATTCCTAATAGATTTGGAGGATCACTGAACCCAAATCTAATACCACATTTCAAAAATTAATAATACTGGATTGAGTTAGACACTGACACCTGTTATTTATTTTAGGATGAAAGAAGTTTCAGTGAATCTAAATTTAACAACATTCATTTACTAGGGTGTTACAAGATATGATTAAGAAATTCCGTAATTTATTTTCCCTGCATTATTCATGCATATACTTTAGAAATTCAGACAGTGTTTTTTCCAAAATTAAAATTTATCTTAGCATTAACTATTACTACTCACCTTCATGTATATGTCCAAATACATGATATTTCGGTTTAACTCTGTTTTGAACAGTAGTAAGAAGTTCCACACATCCAGCCCTAACACCTGTACAGCATGCATCCCCATGGCCAACTGGTGGAGTATGGGTAACTAAGATGTCTATATTTTCAGGAATCAAATCCCATTTCTGAAGAATTTCTTCTCCACGTGATAAATTAAAAGCCCATTTATGGAATTCTGGCTGCCTAAAATGAAATCATTTAATTTTATTAGTATTTAATAGAAAATAAAAAGTTAGCCAACTGAAAATTTAAAAAAATAATCACTGGAAAAAAGAGTTAATATTATTATTGAGAGTTAATAACACACAAAATTAAGAAAACAATTAATTTTTGAGACTTTGATTCTTCATTTACATTAAATACATATCTATGATTCTGGCTATTCATTACATTTAATAAATGCCTATGGGTAGCCAAATAATTATATCAACAGTATAATTTAGCTCTCTTCACCATTGAGCATTGTGATGTTCCTTTTTACTGAACTGCTTCCAATTAATCTGCCCACTGTCAACTCATTTATTTCAGTCAATCACTCGTCTATGAAAGATCTCTCTGACTCCGTCCTTCCAAGTGTGTTTCTTCGTATTCCTTGGCCTCTCTTATCTCTGACCATACATTCATATATTCATTTAGTAACCATTTCTTTGTTTTTCCTGGGTTTATAACCGTGTTAATTTTACCGAGGTCCTCCTCTGAGATCGGGATATTATATTGAAGGTCAGCATAATTATTGGTTACTAAATCATCAGCAAAGCAAGCATAGAGGATGTAACTGGAACGAATTTCTGTCTCCAAAGTGGATTTTCCACATTCTTTCCTTTCCCTTTGTTAATTTCACATTAAGAAAAATAAATAATTTTTTGTTTTGCAGGTAATTTAGTAATCTTTCTAATTATCATGGATACAATAAAAAAAAAAAAAATGCATACTTTTTTGGTTATTTACGAATAAAGTTTCTTTTCCTTCATAACTTTTTTTCCAGATATTTTGGGGGATTGGACTATTTTTTGCATGTGAAGGAGAAGAATACCTTCAAAATTAGTGGTCAATCATAGGATTTGATGAAGAATTGACAAAGTTATGGCATACTGACAAAAAAACACCTTTTAGAAATAATATATAGGATGTATAAGAAAAAATATTAGTGTAACGAAAAATTTTAGACTAATGATGAGATTAAGAAATTAAAAACAGAAAATATATGAGTTAAACATTTAAGAAATCATAATAAAATCAGTTAAAAGTTCACAGTAGATTTATACAAATTCTTTAAAAATTATTTCAACAAAATATTAATATTTAAAATAACCAAATCATTATCTGAAATTATAAACACATTAATTGAAATTAAATATTATCTTACCAAGGTGAACCATAAATCTTTAAACCAAAAAGTTCTATTCCTTTATCTTCTAAATAAATACAATTTTTAAGTTTGTCCCGAATATTCTTAGCAACAACAGCTTCACGAAGTTCATTTCTACTATATCCTAAGGTAGGTATAGATTTAAATGAACTAGGACTGGTTAGTTTTGTAAATTTTTCATCAAAGCTAAGCTCATGATTTCCGGCTATCACTATCTTATATTTATGAGGTAGTCTTCCTGAAATAAAAATTGATAAATCTAACTGCTCTATAACATAAAAATACTTTCAGACATCTTTAGTTAGGTTGTCATAAATGAAAAAGAAATTGTGTTTAAATTCTAATATTTTAAATGATGGATTCGAAGTCTCAATAGCACCAAGCATTGTGAAGATGTTTTCTATGATTCAAACTTATCAAAATATTTTTTACTTTACCCAGATTAGTAATTAAAGTACTAGATTATCAAGCAACATAATCATTCATTTTATAAGTTACAGATCATATTTGAAACTGCTAGAACAAATAGTTAAAAATAAATGACAGTTTTCTCATTTTGTCTCACTGACAAACATTACCATAGTTCATTTAAAATAACATTTATACACAAAATTTTAAACTTTAATACCTATATTCCTGAACTTCATAATTTTGGCAGATGGGCACATGCATGTATTTATAATAAATATTTTTATCAAAATAAAATTTTCAAAAATGATTTTTAAATTAAAATTTTGAGAGTGGAATTACAATCTGAATACAAGGATTCAGAATTCTAACAGTGTTTATAAAATTTACTATTGGTAATGATAATGAGATGTGGTTTGAAAATTTGCTTATCTAAAAATCCAATAACAAATTTATGTGACAAAAATAGTTCAGCATTTAAAAAAAAGGATAATTATTTAGATGAAGACCGCACGGGTTGAGCGTTGTTCACAATCACTTCGTTCACACTTGTTCATAGAGTGCCTAATGCCTCTGGGTTTATCAGAAAGACTGTATCACGAACCAGTGTGACTGAAGTGATTGTGAACCATGCCTAACCCGTGCGATCCTCATCTAAATTATTACCAAAAAAAATAACAATCCACATAAATGCATGTTTTATTTAGACATAAGATAAAAAATATAAAGCACAAATATGTTCATTTGAGAGTTGGGACTCTTAATGATACAATTTGTCGGAGGAAAGACATTTTTTATTTTTATAAACTTTTTATGTCTATATGGACAGTTTTATTACACAAAAAAGATTCTCAATTCTAAACTATTCAAGTTTATGGCAAGCATATCCAGTTTCCGGACAATATTTCACTACATACAACTTCCACTTATCAGATGACTAGTAGTACTTGATCTTATGATAGAAGTATTAAATGCTTGTCGACACACACAAAAAAACGATTCGATACAACAGTTTATTTAAAAAACAAAACAAGATCATACTAAAATTGAAATTCCATGAGTAGATCAAATTTCATCAATATTGTGATCAATGCAACTTGGCCCAATTTCCAAGCAGGAGTAAAACTTCAAAAGAATAACCAAAAGTAGTCTTGATAGGATTAAACTTGATTCTTAAGTCCTCTTCAACTGTACTACCATAACCATTATAGATTATTACAATTAACTTTAGTTTGTGTTAATTCATTTAATAATTTTGAAGAATTTTTATTCCTCGCTCAACATGTTAAAAAGATATTTTTAACCATGACTTTTTTTACTTGTTAGCATACCACTAGGGGTACATGTAACCCAACCTGCCTCCATTGTTAAGAGAAAGAAAAAAAAAATGGACTGATTTTTTCTGCAAAAAGTAAAAAATGTACATTGTATAAAATTACGTAATAGTTTAAATTTCATTCAAGACTCAGATAATACTCATCGTACTTAATTTAAGGTAATAATCTGATTTTTTAAAGGTTTTACAAAAACTATCAGTTAGTACAAGATACAAACAAAATAGTGAGGCAGCAAAAATTGAAGAATTATTGTTGGGCCATATTCCATGCAGGAGTGAGACTTCAGAAGAATTACCATTAATAGGCTAGATGGAATTTTACTTGATTCCTAAATCCCCTTCAAGAAACAGTTTCATCTTTATTACTATTACCATCATAGATTATTATTATTAATTGTAGTTCATATTTATTCATTTAAAAATAGATACATTCAATAATAATATTTAAAGTTATTTTATGTTAGCATATCAGCTGAAACATTTTAATACCTTGTAATACCTCTTATTTTGCTCTCTAATTAATTTTTTGTATCTTGTTCTTTAACCTACAGTGTAGATTAATACTAAGGCTATAAATTAATATTACACAAACATAGTGTGATTGTAGACTGCACCCCCTACTGACTATTTATTTCCTAAATTAGAACTAAGGAAAATAATTTCCTTACTCTTGGGTTTGTTACTTTTCCATATGTTTAAATTGTAGTACAAACAAAATATATAAAACATTAAGATAAACAAAAGGTGATATGAGATGTGAAATAAAATATTGAAGGAAGTTAGTCGACTGTTCTACATCTCATGGGTGATAAATATTCAGGACGCAGTCTTCTTTTTTTTAAAAAAATTTAATTTTTTATTTATGCTGCATAAATGGAATAAATACAAAATTATTTTTTAAAAAAGAAAAAGACTGCATCCTGAATATTTATCACCAATGAAAGAAAATATCTTCTTAAAATGAATTCATCATTTGCAGGCTTGCTATCAAGCAACTCAAATACATAACGAGAAGTTCATTACCAAGCCAAGTATTAAACTCATCAACTTCTTGTTCAGCACCACATCTCGTGAAGTCGCCAGCATGAATAAATATATCCCCATTAGGAATACTAAACTTAATACTTGAAGTAAAAGAATGAGTATCACTCATACAAACGATTCTCACCTAAAACGGTTCTAAACTTAACTACTGGTGCTTTGCTACATAAATAGAGACAAATATGTCACATATAATTTCCAACCTTGTCAGGATAAATTTCAGGCAAAATAGGGGCTTTAATTTGAAAATATTTTTGAGTTTTCACCAATTCCTTCCAGGCTTTCGTGGGGTTCTCTGTCAAAGGGTGTACAGTAATTTTGGCACTCATAATAAATTTCAGAACAAGGATACACTTTAAGGAACAAGGAAAACTTCATATTATATGTCCTTATCAACATTCACAAAATGCAATCATAGAGAACAAATTCTGTAATCGATTCAGGAAGATAAAATATTAAGAATTATTTATAATTAATACTACTATTATTTTTCACTGTGACAATTTTTATAATTGTCAATGTTAAACCTTGTCAACTTTCTTCCCTCTTGTATCAATTAATGTTTGGCTAGAAGTATGAGTTACTATCGATAGGTTGTTCAAGTACAAGTTCTATAAAATTACGTGCATTGGGAGAACTTGAATCTTGACATAATGACTTGACCACCAAGCCTACCTATTGGTCTCTTTCAATCCTATTATTATTGTAAATTTTTTTTGTTCTCTTACTTAATATATTGAAGAGAATATCCTTCTGACTTGTTGACATTGGATTGGAGAGAATTTTAAGTATGTAAATAAATTAATAAGAATAGCAACCTCCAATAAAATGTTATGTAAATCACAGGTTAGACCTGAAGCGGAAAGAGAGAAATTGATATTAAGATTATTATTTTTTTTTTTTCATAATTCTTGGTTATCAAATTGAGAATATGACAACACGTTCGGACACTGATTGACTAAAACCGTTCAGATTTGTTCTTTCCTAATAGTCAAACATTTTGAAGCGAGCACTTGGCATACCAACATCCACGGTCAAGTCACAATTAGATGCAAGACGGGTCCTCTCGGATTACTGGGTGTCTCAATTCCTCACGAGACATGGGGCCTTTCAAGCGAAGCTCGGTAAACACGGGAAGAATATTGATCCGCTATGCCCCAACTGAAACGTTTCTGAGACCGTCGAACATATGATCGTCGAATGCACTGCCTATGAGGCACTAAGAGCTAAGCTCCTGAGAGAGACGGGGACATATACGCTGACAGAGAGCATGTTCCTCCAGCTTATGAGCAGAGAAAATTACCCACATTATAGGGAATTCGTATACGGGTAGAAAGATCATGTAGACCCTATACATTTTAATCTGGGAAGAAGAGAAGGACGCTAAGACAAGCTGAAGCTGCTTCGAGGACCGACTTCAGGTGAAAGATGGAGGAAGAATGGAGAAAAGGGAAAGCGTGGGCTTATGCTCACAAACAAGTCTACACCTCATAAATAATAAATGTTAAAAAAAAATTAATCAAATAGACCTAAACAGCCAGCACTGGCATATGCATGTACTCTGCGTAATACCCCACTGCTGCTATATCCCGAATTGCCTGTAAGGTAAGACAGGGAGAAAAAAAAGTGTATACCAATATATTTACTCTTCCAAATAGGTACTAAAATATTGAGACAAAATTCAAATATTAGTTTGCTGTAAAAAAAAAATCCTCTATAATAACCTCTGTTCTTTAAAGATTTCATTGATGTAAGGACATGTATAATTAAAATATTTGGTTTTAATATATATGATAATACCCTGTTCTACCTGGAGACAGACGTCTGTCTGTTTAACAACGTTCAGAGTACACCTTTTGTCTCCAAATACTTGAAATGTATTCACAGTTTAAAAGAATAATTACGAGGCGTATGGTCTTTGTTAAAATAGTGTAGTGGAGATATTACGGAATGATTTTGAAGATGATATATCTAGCACTGCATTCCAAAGATTTATTGATATCACAAGATCTCCTCAGAACGTCTCAATCAATCCGATCTTTAATCCACTGTTGTTCCACTTGTGTTCCATGAACAATCCTACACCTCATGAAAGAATGTTTTTCCACAAATAATATACATCTGGGGTATCCATTATATTTAAGTTGGAGAAATATTGTTGCGCGGTTTCGTTCGAAGAAATAAATATGCTCTTTTTATTTTAGAAATCGGCGCAGCTAGAATTGAATTCTATTAGACACTTGTTCGACTACCAGACCGGAAGAGAATTACGGCAAATCCGAGCTTTTAAAAAGACGTTGAAGACAACTTTTGAATCATAAGATCGTCCTGAACTGTCCATCGATCCGGTCAGTATGAGATCTAATCCTATCGGAGTGGATATGCAGCCAATTAACCGTCAAACCCAAGGCGAAAAAAGACATCTAAGGACACGCTAAGAAAAGATTCTCTAGATCTTACAAAACCTCAGTACCATCATACTTCGAAGTTCGATTCGCATCACAGGACGCCATATCCAATTATTTATATACATGTTACAATTATGGTTTTTCATGTATTTTTGTTTATCTATTTTATAATTGTTTTTAAAGCTCAGAAGAAGACTGAAAAACATACTTAAAGGACTATGTTCCTTAATGAAGAGGGTGGAAGAGATAGATAGATGTTAATCTTTTTTAATTCTTTGTATTGATATCATATATTTCGTTTTTCTTGTCACACTTGTAGGTAACATTTGATCGCTATTAATACTTATTCCCCTAAAATGTTATTCCCCTAATGTTCTAAATGTTTATGAAAACCTAAAATAACCATCGTATAGTACAATTAACAACAGCGATCTATTGATTTCAGACAAAGTACTTAAAAACTCTAATATTAATGGGTACAAAATTGACTGAGAAAACAATAGAATAATTACAATATCAACCAAATGATACAAACACCTTGGTCTAAATCTGCCGAGTCCCAATGCTACACCAGAACTACATCTAGTTATGTCTTTAGATATTTTACTGGAAAATCTCTGATTTATCAGGCTACCTGAACATTTTCAAGCAAGTTAAAAACTTTAGGGGAAGAGATGTATAATAATACCTACAATAAAGGGTAATATACCTACGTCAGCCACACTGGTGTGACAAAAATTAGACTTAAAATAATTCAGAGAAGAATTTGACATCATATACTACTAACTTATAACTTAAAAAAGAAAGAAGAATGTCAATAATTTAAATATGAAAATTAACATTTAAAAAATCACTTCTTGTATTATCACCGTGTATTATTAATGTAATGGAATATAGAATTTAATGTATTAATGTAAATGCAGTATTCGTTCGTAAATTTCTGCTCACGAAGGCCGTGCCATTAAAGTTGTCGGCCATTTGGTTCGGCGTGTGGAGAACCTTTTTCCGTCTAGTTGTTGTCCGTATTCATCGACTCTAGAATATCAATATGGTTCAAAAGAAGGTGAGTAATATTATTAGGGATGTTTATTAGATCATACCCTTATTCTCTTTAAAGTATTTAATTTAATATTATGTATGTTACATCGTAGGAAAAGTTCGTCCATGTGAAATTGTAATGTTGAATAGCATGGCTTAGGCTCAATTATATTAATTGAGTATTGTTATCATTACGAAATAGTCTAATTTACAAATTATTTTGATCATAACATGCTTATCCAATTTTTTATCTACATGTTACAATTATGGTTTTTTATGTGTTTTTGTTTATCTATTGTATAATTGTTGTTTAAAGCCCAAGAAGAAGACTGGAAAAAAGGTTGCAGCAGCACCTCTTGCTGTTAAGAAGCAAGAGGTTCAGAAGGTTGTCAATCCACTTTTTGAAAAGCGAGCCAGGAATTTTGGAATTGGTATGTGTTTTTTTGGAATTTGGAATAGTGTTTCACATTGTCCTTTTCAAATGTGATATAGATTGTGTAAATTTTCTTTTAATTTTGTGAAGGTCAGGACATCCAACCTTCCCGTGATTTAAGCAGATTTGTCAGATGGCCCAAATATATTCGTATCCAAAGGCAGAAATCTGTTTTACAGAAGAGGCTGAAAATTCCTCCTTCAATTCATCAATTTTCTCAATCTTTAGACAAGCAAACAGGTAAAAATTTTATTTACAATGAATATTTTTATTAATTTTGAAAATATATTCCAAAGCCATTAATCTATTTACTTTGTTTAGTTACTCACATCCCCTCCCCTCATCAACCTTAGTATAATTTCTTCTACATTAAAATTATTAGTTAATATTATTTTTTTCCCACAGCTACTCAACTGTTTAAAATTCTGGAAAAACACAGACCCGAAACTGCACTTGCTAAGAAGCAGAGGTTGAAGGCTAGGGCAGAAGGAAAAATAAAACAAAAGGAAGAAGTTCCTACAAAAAGACCTAATGTTATCAGGTCTGGTGTTAATACTGTTACTAGACTTGTTGAACAGAAAAAAGCTCTCCTCGTTGTGATTGCCCATGATGTTGACCCAATTGAGGTACGTAGTAAAATTGGTACTACATAAGTTTCACTTCAACTTGCTAATAAGGCATGTGATTTCAATAAAAAATGGCCATGTGTATCAAAAGTAGATGGAGGCAATCAATCCCCTTGTTATGGCCCTGAACTTAATCCATTGTTTATCTCTTTCAAGCCACTAAAAGTCTTCATTTGAAAGTTTCAAAAAAGATTGAAGTTACTTCTTTGTCTTGTTAAAATGATGCTTGTATTGTAGAACTGTTTTATTAGGGAATTTTCTATTATTTGTTTTTTTATAAATGAAGCTGTGTGTTATATTTATGAATTATTTGCTGCCCTGTATATGGTAATTTTTGCTCAAATTTTGTTCTTGAGTATATAAGTTGAGATTTATATTAATAGGAAATTGTATTTCAACCTTCTTCATTATTGTTCTTACCAGTTTCTTAGCACTACTTCAAGATAGTGACTGACTTCTTGATTCATTTAGTACACTGTAGATGTAACTCCCAAGGAATGCTTAAAATTGCTTATTATTGACTTGTTCAGATACAATCACAGGTGTCCTCATTTTTACTATGATGTTTAATTGCAACATTGTAATATAATGGAGTTACGTTTCACATCTGTGGGAAATCTTTGTACCTCCGGTTACTTTTTTTTCAATGCTACATGACATCCAATATAACAATGATTTTTAAAAGATCAAAATCAAGTTTTATTCGTGATACTTTAAAGATGCTATGCTAATTTTTAAAAATACTAAATGGCCAAGGTTCAATTGTAGTTATACCTAGGATCACCCTCTATTCTTTGGTTCACTACTTTTTGGACTGCGAATTGTATCTTGGGCAATATTTTTTTTTATTGGAGTTTTAATTATTGTTGACTAATAAGTATCACTAAAATAATTGTAAAATTGTATTTAATAGTAGATTTAATTAATCAGAATATATTAAAAAAATTATTTGAGTCATTGACCGCTGAAAAAAGGAACAGAGAATGGAAATTCACCACATTTCCTCCTAATAATATTGGTGGCTAAAAGTAAATAATGTCTTCATTGTGTACTTCATACTCACTTAACCTATATACGAAATAGATATTGGAGGAAAGTATTGCGATTGTGTAAATTTTCGAATCCAAGTTTTCAACTGAAATACACATTTTGAAGTCTCCTGAGTCTAAATAACCTATTCTTAAAAAATGATCTGTGTGAGTAACAGTCTAGCTCAAAAATAAAGTCATGCAGAACTGAAATTGTGTATTTTACGTTTGTATAAGCCTGGGATGTTACAGCAATTTTTCATGAAAATCAACAAATTAAAAGTGGTTTTGCTAGAATTGCTTCGACAATTTTTATCAAACTCATGCTAATTACGTGTTTTTTATTATAAGGTAGGTTTTATTCTAATTTATGTTCTCTATCAAAGCGTAAATGTTGGTTTTCAAATTTCTTCCTCTAAAGTACTTTAAATTTTGTTTGTTCTATGAAATTAACTATTTCACACTATAGATCTTGAATAAAAATGGTTAAATATAAACAGTAAATAAAAAATGAATCCTGAATTAAGGAGAAATAAGAGATGGTATTGATGGACCGAGAATCGCCAAAGATTCTTGCATGCTCATGGTGATAATGTGTAGACGAAACTACCGAAGAAACCCAAGCATAACCTCAAGCTTGGTAAACAAATGGTTTCCGATTATATTTACTTATGCATGTACGGTTTTCATAAATGCTAGTGCTGGTATTTAAATACAACAGCATTTTAAATATTTAATTGTATAGATTATTGAAATTTGATAAATTAAAATTTGTATAATTTTTTTTCTCCCTTTAAAAGGACCGTTAATTATGTTATGGTACATTCCATACAAATGTATATTATCCACCTTAAATATAATATTTTATCAAATAATATTGACATTAACTAATTAAAAACACAATTCAATTTAATCATAATAGTTAGTATAAGCATAACTAAAATAAACATAAATAAGAAAAAGTTACAAAAATCAATGAACATAGTATCTTAAAATTACAATTAAAATTTGTACTTATAACAATGTTTAAACAAAATACCTATAATGAAGTATAAATGAATATTGAATCTTCTTACTGATACCCTGGCCTAAAAAAACAAAATTGTGGCACTCTATTACTTTTTACAATTAAATAAATAATGAAAATATACAGTTGTAAAATAAAATTGTTAGTGACAAAAAAACGCATATATTTAATAGATTAGGCAAGAAAATTATATATTAATTATTTTTTCTAATTAATGCGTTGCACCATCTATAATTTTTATCTGTCAGTTCCTACCAGCTAAATATTTTAATAGTAGTATTACTTTATTATTTACTTTATTATTCGACTTAAATGTTACATCAAATGATGAAATGACCTATTTTACTCAATTACTCAAAGTAGGGTGGTAAGTGAAAGTTATGTGATGTACGCACCGTTCCAGATTTTTTACTTTCATCTTTGCTGCAAGTCTTATAACCATTTATAAGATAACCATTTCTTTAGAGTATATTTTGGTACATCTGAAAATATTTCTACATTCTTAGCAGCTGATAATTCTATTTCATCCTCCTAAATAAGATCTTGAACTTTTAGTGTAATTGTATATTCATTTTTATCATTAAAAAGTAATGACAACTGTATTTTATTTTAGCAACCATTGTCTTTCCTGTTTTCTTCTACTTCTTTTATTTTTTAATCTCCCAATTTTTTTTTTTTTCTGCGAGTCGGTATGAATTCTTCACTTTCTTGATTTACCCCTTGTTTGTCAATTTGTATGCTCATTTTTAGGAAAAAATTTTTTTTTCTGTTCAGATAGACCATTACAGCTGATTAATGCTTGAAATTAGAGCTTAAACTGTTGTTTTCTTAAATAATCAACATTGAGGGATCATTTTTAGTATTAGATTCTGCATCATAGCATCTATTAGAATATGCTTTTTTTTTTTTTTATTCTTTTTTTTATTGAATAATATAACATTCTGTCACAATATGTACATTAATTATACTGTACAAAAACTAACCTAGCAAAATATTCAGGTTCAGGAAACGTTTTAAGACCACATCAATTTTTAAGAAAGTTTGATGAATTTGTTATGAATAACTAAACTAAGTTCCTTTTCAATGGGACTCATATACAACAAAATAGTATAGAATTATAAAATTTGAGAGAGATGTAAAAAAAGTAAAATGTATTAAGAAAAATATACTTTTTTCACAAAATATTCTATCGCATGCATATATTTAGTAGCTGGTTATATTAAAAGAATGATTGTTTAAGGCTTTAGCTCAGATTAATCACAGAAATAAATATAGACCAAGGGAAAAAAATTATTTCTTTTTTTTCTGAGGCAAAGGGGCTGGGTGGGTCTTCAGCCCATAGATCTACCAGTGGTTTTGATGAAACGCTCACACCAAAACTGGACGATTTCAGGAGAGATGTTATATTCATTCATACCATAATATTCATGATCAATTTCCATAATCATAAAAAAAGGTTTGATATTGTCTTATTTAAACCAGTTGCACGTGTAATACATGTATTGTGAGAAGTTCTTAATGATAACTCTGGATTAAGCATCCGAAATTCAACAAGTCATTGTTCACGGTAGGAAATTTCATGTCATCTGTTGAAAACCCATAATAAATTACACTTGTATAATTAGTATTACGCTTATGCCAGTAAATAATCTTTTAAAATTTTTTAGTAAATGCTATGAATCAAGGACAAGGATTAATCTCACAAGATACATATTTTGAAACTATATTAAGGTACCTTGTGGGCTGGCCCAAGATACGTTGTAAAACAGTAACCCGAGTTATAATTATATAACGTTATTTTTAAAAATTTGTTAGCCCTAAGTCCTAACTTATTTTGCTTAGAGCAGATCAGAGACACAGAAATCAGCTGAAAAGTGTGTTCTGGCAGTGTAGCCTACTCAATATTGTCACAAATCCTGAATTTTCCCTGTTGAAATTTCTTACTACAGTGTGTGGCATTGTGCTTCTTGCTATGTTTAATTATTCAAAAGAGTATAAAGAAATTATGATCATTGGTCAGATACTTGTAAATTATATTTATTTAAAGCAGGGGCCTGCAAGCTGACAAGCACCTCTAATCCAAAATTTTAAAACAGTAGGTTACTACAACGTTTATCACATGTTTTTTTTTTTCTCTTAGAAAGCTCATTTCACAATTGTAGTGTCATTTATAGAACAAGGTTTTTCTTTTCATAACAAGCCATGGCCTGTGGGACTTAAGATGGAGGTATCGAAAAATTATAATAGATCACTTTTACAAAATTTTATTTTTAGATAAAAAGTTTATTTACAACAATATTCGTAAAAACTGGTTATAAATTTTGAGCACCCAAATTTTGTATAATTATTGGTACATTAATTAAGAATTTAAGGCTGTTAAAGACGTGATTTAATTTATATTAAAAATGTTTACACAAAAACCTTGTTTTTAGCTCTTGCTGAATCTTAATACATAATTGCTTAACCCTTTTCAGGTCATGTTGTTCAAATGGATAATAATGGATGGCACTACTTTAAATTTTTTATTATTTTTTTAATTTCTCTTACATTATAGAGTAGTTAATATTTCCATCTGGTCTAGTATAGCCTCCTGTTTTTATATTAAATGTATTTTTTATAACTACTCAATTTAAGAGCATTTGAAAAAAAAATTTGAAGTACTGGTATCCATTTGGACACCATGGCCTGAATAGAAAAGGGTTAATAACAGAAATTTGTATTATTATTATTAATTAAAAAAGGCAACTTAAAGGGATGTTATTAATGATATTCAATATCTTCATGGAATTATATTCCATCCTACTATCCAGTCCTGTTTTTCATAAAGATAATTATTTTTAGTTATTGATGATTGGTATTTAAATCTATGATGTTTATGAATTTCTTCACCTGATTGGATTTTAAAATCCATTCTTTAAATTTTGATGAAATTGACCTCTGAGAAATTAAATAACCAGTCAAACTGTAACCTTTATTATTATATCTTTACAATCTAATTTCTTTCTATACCTATTAAGGATTCAGCCTTCCCTACTGAACCAAAGTTCCATCTATTGGGTATTAAAATATAGTAAATATTAGTGGGACCAGAAAGTAATGTCGTTTTCTTACATTAAATTCAAACACATAAATTTTAAGTTTTTTTTTTTTTTGATCAATGATGGAATCAATCATCACACTCATTATCAATAACCTTTTGTGATCTGGTGAACAAATTTTCAATGCAGGATTGATAAAAATCAATTGTTTTATGAGTAACATGCATAGATATTGCATTTTGGATATCATCCACATTAGCATATCTTTTGCCACTTAAAATGTGTTAAAACAATCGCAATAATCAATGATCAAGCATTAAAAAAAATGCTTTTGCTGTGGCATGTGGTGGTTTTCCAATATACTGCAAATGTTCTTGGATGATCGACCAATTTTGATTAAAACTGTGGACAATTCTTTGATTGTCTGACTTCATTTGCTTCCAGTTCCGCCCTTAACACATCATTATCTAACGTTATTAATCATCCTGATAAATATGAGCCAGAAAGATCAAACTGGATTTGAACTTGTGGAAAACCACCTTTGGCATTACATGCATACGTATAAACATTGCAAATGTTTTTGGTAGCAACTGTTGAGTTACTACCCTTGCGAAACTCAAAAAGCATGCAATGCCGGGCCGGATATGTACCTCTTCTGTTATTTGGTTGGCCATTTCACCCAAACTGCAAAAAAAAAAAAAGTTTAATTCATATAAGTTAAACTAAATAAGTCACTAAAACCTTAAAATGTCTTTGCCATGACTTAGATGTACACAATGAAGTGCCAAATGATATGCTCAGAAACAACATTACTTTCTGGTTCCCCTAATATAACAGTTTTATTTCATTTTAATGTTTTTTAAAAAGAATTGTTATTAATTTTGTTTAGTGTCTTTATTTACTCCCAACTAAACTATTCATCTCATATGTTTCCAACTTTTGCTGGTCCTGAGTGAAATGGTCCAAGCTGATTGATTTGTTAGTTTTTTATCGTTAATTTTTATCCTTACAAAAATGGTTTTGTTTTATTTTTCTATGTTTTTATTGTAATTAAAGCTTAAAATTTAATTTTTATTTATTTTTTAACCTGTTTATTGAGAGATATTATATTCTGTCTCAATTAAGGACATAAAATGTAATTATAATGTTAACTTGGACATTTACATCCGTATTCCCTTCAACTATTTGAGGTTCACCTCACTGAATTGTTCAAATTTTGTACTTTTGTTAATGTTTTAAGCTATACTTTCAATGATGTTAATGAATTTCTTCACCTGATTGGGTAAATTTCCAATTTATAATGATGAAGTGACACCTGAGAAAGTACTACCATCCTTATAATAGTGGTTTTGTTTTAATTTACTATTTTAATATAATTTGTGCTTAAAATGAAATCACGTGTATTAGTTGGATATTTATATATCTGTATTCCTAAAATTATGGAATTTCGTTGGTCTGGAAAGTCAGAATACTTGAGGATTTTCTGATAATTTATTGAAGAACATATTTAATATATGACATTCTCTGTGAATTGTTTGAATTTCGTACTATTATCATTCACTGATTCAGATCAGATATACTTTCAATGATGTTGATGAATTTCTTCACCTGATAGGGTTAATATCCTATTTATAATGATGAAATGACATCTGAGAAAGTACCTGTCTATTTATTTAATTTAAACAAGTTGATTAAATTGTAAAATTGTCAATTTTAAAAATTTCCCCGATAAAATAGATCTATTTATTTTAACAATTAGTGTTTATTATGCTAATTTGTTATTTTAAGTATGTATTTAAAGTCAGAACTAATTTTGTTTACAGCTGGTGCTTTTCCTACCTGCACTTTGCAGAAAGATGAACGTTCCATATTGTATTATTAAAGGAAAGGCTCGTCTTGGCAGGTTAGTCAGGAGAAAAACCTGCACTTCAATTGCAGTAACCCAGGTCAGACTTTTTTTAAAAAATTACTATCATATATTTTATCATTTGTTAACCATATTTAGATAAATATGTCTATATAATGAAATAAGATTATTGAAGGAAGTTTATAGACTGTTCTACTTATCATGGGTGATAAATATTCTCGAGGCAGTCATTATAAAATTTTTATTGGTGCCGATGTTTCATCCCAAACATGTATGTGGTTGAAACATCGGCACCAATAAAAACTTCATAATGGCTGCCTTCTGAATATTTATCACTCATGATATAAGATTATATTATAATAATATTAGCTTTTATTATACAGTATTATAATATTAATGTATTTAAAAAAAAAATGTTTTGAAAAACTAGACATGATTATAAATTTAGGATATATATATAGGTCTTTCTGAGAGCAAAGAACCAGATTATCATTTAGTATTTGTATTAAATTATATAACTTATTAATTATTAGATTATATAATTTAATACAAAAACTTAATGATAATCTGGTTCTTTAAAAGCTGAACATTTTATATATATATATATATATATATATATATATATATATATATATATATATATATATATATATATATATATATATAATCTCATAAAATGAAAATGTTGGGATAAAGCTTAAATTTTTTTTTCATGGTTACATCATATTAAAAAGAATAATACAATATGAATTTCAGAATACATGTAAATTACCGTTATACAATTTGAGCAACGATTAGTACAATTAAGTGAACCATTGTATAATGGGGGTTTTGCCCGTTACTCTAAAATTATAAAAAAAAAAATCCTCATTCACTGTAATGTACATTAAAGAAATTAAAAAAAAACAACTACGTTTTCCTTTTCTATAATTTACTAACTGTAATTCTTTATAATCTTAAACAATTGTTTTAAAACAAATTATGAAAAGATTGAATAATTAAAATATGATCAAATAGGTAATAAATAAATAAAATAAGCGTAAATCTTGTCATAATTTGCTAAATGAATGTAAAATTAATATAAATAACTACAAAGTAATCTAACTGTTAAAAAAAAAGAAAAAGTAATTAAATAAAAAAATCTTCAACTACAAAGTAATCTAACTGTTAAACAAAAAGAAAAAGTAATTGAACAAAAAAATCTTCTGTGGTTAAGTCTTAAAAGGTTTATTTATGTATTTTTAAAAGTATGATTTATTATAATTATATTTTATATAATATCATCTGTTTGGTTACATAATTTGAAGTTAATCTTTTATTCACTTTTCTAGATGGAGGGTAATGATCGTACTGCTTTAAATAAGGTCATTGAAGCCGTCAAGACCAATTACAATGACAGATATGAAGAAATCAAGAGGCACTGGGGAGGTGGTTTGCTTGGCTCCAAGTCAGCAGCCAGGATAGCTAAACTTGAAAAGGCTAAGGCTAGAGAGTTGGCTCAGAAACAAGGATAATTTTTTCTTTTTCATTAATAAAAGCCTTGTTTTTATTTCGTAACTTGTTTTTGTCTTTTCCTATATTGCAATATGTTGATAGCTTTTAGTACCTCGTGGGCGGTGTGGCCTAATGGGCTAATGCGTGTGCACAGCACCGCCGTTGCCTGCCAACCTGATATATGATGATTAAAATGATATAAAAAAGCATCCCGGTGCCGAGGAAGTCCCCGCCCATATCCCCTGGTCTGGGAAAACCCCATATAGCCTTAATGGCAAGGAAGGAGAGTGCAAAAAAAAGAAAAAAGCTTTACAAGCTATAGATTTAGTAAAAGAAATCAATAGACATTTCGAGAACCATGAATCAATTAAAGCTGTATCATTTAAAATTAAACCAATTTTCTCGAATTTTTTAAGTTAGTTTTTAAAAATTAAAAAAAAAAATTGAAATAATATTAATAAGAATAATTTATAATTTACGAACAATAAGAAAATAAAAAAATATTTTTGATACGCATTAATTTCGACCATACTAAGGGTCATTTTCAAGTCTTGATGAGTCCTCCGTTATATATTCATCATTAATGTTGTAATTAATATGTTCAGTGAATGATGAATATATAACGGAGGACTCATCAAGACTTGAAAATGTCCCTTAGTATGGTCGAAATTAATGCGTATCAATAAAATGTTGGTGATAATTGGCCTAATTTATTGTAAAAAAATAAAACTTCAAGACGCCAAAATTAGGATAAATGAACAGAAGAAAAATAAAAATACTTCTTGATTTATATTTTAGCAAGGCACATGGTTAGGTAGGTTGTATTTAATTTGAACAAGTCATTTTAATCAAAATTAATGAAGATAACAAACATTTTATTATTACATTGCCATGTTTTACTATCATTATTGTATTGTAATCTTATTCTCCATTCTGATGTGGATTATCCACAATTGAGCAGCTAAATATATTTTGGTAAATTGGCACTTACTCTTTTAGAAAGCATTCCTAATCTCACTTCAAATTATCTGCTATTTTATTAATGATTGTCACTTTCATGCATAAGTTTTGGCTGATGAAAGCGACACATAAGTTAAAGAGTTTTCCATGAAAACTTTTGAGGTCTTCTTAGTCCAAATAACCAAGTGTCGCAACACAAACAACATTGTTAAAAAACTATTTTGTTGTACTTGTGTGAAAGAAGAAGTGAAGTATATCATGGATGTATAAAGAATATGTTTTATAGCCTTAAGTAGATTTACTGTAGTTTAATAATTTTAGATCTGACATATTTAAATAACTAGGTATCAAGGTTTGTGTTTATTCCGAAAAATCGTCATAACCTTTAGAAAATTGAAATGTGAATAATTTTATGAAGTTTTTCTTTGTGAAATCCAAACATTATACACTTCAATTATTATGACAACTTATGAAAAATCTATGGCAGACAATGAACATCTTCTAATTTCTTTTCAGAAAACTTTACAATGGAAAATAACTGGTTAATAACTAATAGGCATACAATCTATTATCATTTATATGTTGAATATATAGATATACTTTTCAAATCTCTAGACATATATATATATATATTAGAGACTGGATCTACAAAAACGGATGGAGTAATGATGTTTTTATTGTTTACCATTGATGTAATTAATAGGGTTTTTGTTATTTTAATGGTCTTAATGATTTGTAAGCTTTAAGCTCCATTAAAAATGCACTTCAAAAACTTAATAATAATCCATTGCCAGAAAATAATTTCTATCCTAAGTAAATGAAAATGGTGAATCCTTGGTAAATGAAAGTTGTGTATTGTGTGCAACAGATTTTTTAATAGTGGAAGTAGTGAGTATGAATTCCAAGTAGCTCACTGTTTATAATATTTAAAAAGAAATTGTAATGGATATCAGTAAAACAAAATAAATAAGTTTCGTAACAAACACCTTTATTATTACCAAAACTATCAGTAGTACCAAATGTTTCATCGATTTTTATTTTAAAAGAGATTAAATAAAACAACATTGATGTTATTATATCAATAAACAACAATAATCATAAAAAATAAAACAAAATGCTTGTTAATAATTAATTACAGTTTCAAAGTAATCCCTCATACTTGCAATAAATTATTAGATATTTTTTGAAAACTTGTCGATCTGAAGCAGGCAACAGTAAAACTTGCCAGGATGACCACTAGTAAAGACTGTGTTAGACATGAAGGGGCACACATGTGCATCAGGCTCTAGGTTGGGAAATCCTGCTCTGAGCTTTATGTCAACAATAACTGTTCAATATTTGAGATCCTTACAGGTTTTTGAAGGCCCAAATTATAATACATGCATGCTCGGAACATCTTTTGCTAGACTTCCTAGAAGAGTTGGCTGAGGCCATCCTGCAGTGAACTTTATTAAGTTTTACTTATCTGAAGAATCAGTATAACTTACCATCCAGAGAGCCATTTCCCCCCTCCCTAATTCTCCAGGAGCTGAATTATGAGATGCTGTTGGAATATTCAAAAAGTTTAGCATACATTAGCTTAGAAACATCAAATTATTTTTTAACTAATCCAATGTTGGTTCTTCAATTTTACAGAATAGTTTATTTTGTTAGAAACTATTATTTATTTTTTTTTTTTTCTCTATACATCCGAATAAGCTTTTTTGGAAAAACTATCTTAAGTTTCCTTATGAAATTTATGCTGATTTTTTTTTTATTTTTAAATAGTCCTAATAACAGTCTTGCAAGTAGCTTGCAGTAACAACAGTAGATTCAAGTAGCCAAGTCTCCCAAAATGGTTGTATGTATGTGAACAGTCTAGCTCAAAATAGGTGTTGAAAAAATATTTTTTCAGGTCTAACTAATTTCTAGAGATAAAAATAGTAAAATAGGTAATACAATGTAATAATAATAATAATGCTTAATTTATTCTGGGACAAGTCCCTGTAGAATAATACAGAGAGACAAGAATGTGGGCTAAGGAGCCTCAGAGATACATAAAGAATAATTTAGTTTAATTAAATAGTAAAAAAAAACAGATAAATGAAAAAAAAATAATAAGAGAAATTATAAGTTACTTTCTAATTTACATCAGTTAATAATCAAAATTGAAAATAAACATGAAGTAAAAAAAATAAAGAACGATCTAATAATTTATATACATATTTACAGTAGTAACTATTTACAATTTTCTGATGACTGGATGGATAAGAAATGATTAAACAGTTAGGATTTAAAGGTAGGAAGGGTTTTGGATTGACGGATGTGGGGAGGGATGGAGTTCCATAGGGAACAGGATTGAATAAAAGATTTATCGAAAGCAGCGGTTCGGTGGGCCATTATATATAAGTCTGAAGACCGGGAACGGGTATTGCGGGGATTTAAATTGAAGGAGCTCGATGTATGAAGGACGGCGGGAGTGAGGAAGAGGAAGGATGCCAGGAACTACTTACGGCGGTAGGAAGGATAAAGCCACTCCAACTCTTCATAGAAACAGGGGCGTCTCTTGGGATCCCGAAGATGAATCGTACAAAGAAATTTATCAAACGTTTTAGATTCGCCTCGAGATCCCCAGAGAAGCCTCCATATACCGTGCAGCAATAGTCGAAGTGGGAAAATATTAAGGAGGTCACCAGGAGTCTACGGATTTCAAAAGGAAAAAGGTGTCGCAGGCTATTTAAGTGTTTTAGGGTGGAAAAGGTACGTCGGGAGATATTGGACACATGGTTTTTCCAGGTAAGGGTTTGATCGAAGATTATTCCAAGGTTTTTGATGGTGGGATAAAATTTAATGGGATTATCATGTAAAAAGAGGGTTGGAAAGTTAGGAACAGTTTTGAGGAGGTGATTGGAGCCTATTAGGATTGCCTTGGTCTTTTCCGCATTCAACTTCAACTTGTTAACTCCTGCCCAGTCGTATATTCTATTTAAATCTTCTTGAAGCTTTTTTGTGGCGGCTAATAGGTCGGAAGGGGGGAAGGAAAGGTATATTTGGAAATCGTCAGCATAGATGTGGTATTGGGAGTGATGGATCTGGTTGGGAAGGTCATTAATGTAAATAGCAAACAGAGTAGGAGACAAGGAGGAACCCTGAGGGACACCACAGGAGAGGGGAAGTTTCTTTGAAGGAGGTTGATCTGGGACGACTACATTCTGGGATCGATCGGAAAGGAAGGATTTGAACCAACGTAGGACACTGTTGGATAGAGGAAGATTTTGCAATTTGGTAAGAAGGATGTTATGGTCAACTGTATCAAACGCTTTGGAAAAATCTAGAAGGATGAGGATAGTAAGGTTTTGATGTTCAATGGAGTTTTGGAGGTCATGGGTTATTTTAAGGAGGGCAGATTGCGTTGAATAGCCGGGTCGGAAGCCAGATTGGAAATGATTGATGAAGGAACGTTCTTCTAGGAAGTTGGAAAGTTGATTTTGGACAAGGCGTTCCAGTGGTTTTGAGTGGTTGGAAAGAAGAGAAATAGGGCGGAAGTCGTTCTGTGAGGAAGGGTTAGATGTTTTACTCAATGGTCGAACAAGTGCAGTTTTTAAAAGGCCTATTCAATTACTCTATTATAGTAAGATATGATATTTCATTTGGCTATCGATCTAGGACTCATTGATAGTTAAGTTGCAACAATTTTAGTAAAACTGTGCAGAAGGGAAATGGTGGGCTACCTTTCTTGTTCCAAAACATTATCGTGTTCCACCTGATCTCTGGTACGAGTCGATTGCCGCTTTCCAATCCTTGACTGGCCACGACTATTTCAATGCTCATATCCACAGAATCGGAGTTAGAGACGACCCTTGTTGCTCAATCATGTCTTGAAGAATATGAGAGAACTCTTCTGATGAAACAGATTGGCAAAACTTGATTGGGCTGCTGTAAGTCTGATTGGGGGAAGACTCATGGCCATAAGATGTAAGAAAGAAAAAATATTTTAAAAAGTGAAATGTATATAATGATGTGGAGATGGTTGACTGTGGATTCTAATTTCAGAAGAAGTTAGTCGAGGTCGGTATCTTATATATTGACCACAGCCCCGACTAACTTCGTCTGAAATTAAAATATGTAAAGTAGATTAGTTAGTAGTGAAAAAAAAAATATAAGGTAGTGTATGTTGCAATAATTAGATATTTGCAAATAGTGACAAATAAGAATTTATAAATGGAAAATTAAAATAAGATAAAATTAGAAGTTTAGATAAAACACTGACTATTTATATACACAATACACTTGATATTAACAATCTAAAAAATATTTTGTAGCTTGATAAAATATGGGCGATTTCTATAAAAATTGTATTTTGCTCAAATTTAAATTTTATAAATAATTTCATTATGAGGATAATCTATGTAAAGTATACTGTAGAATAGAAAATTACTGTTGGTCTTTGGTGTTCCTTTTTATTCTGTTTATTTTCTGTCTTCCACTTCTCTTGTTAGTAATTCTTTTTCGTCTCTGTGGGTCTAGTCTAAAAGATATCATGTTTTTCTTAATGCATATGTCAGGAGACTTAACATTATGACACACAAGATTCTTCAGCTTGGCATTATTAACTATATTCCATCCAACCTTTCCTCCCATAGTACTAGGTTTCCACATGAATTTTGATCCAAGGGGATGAGTTAGTAATGCTTTCAATAACCATGGTCCAAAAAGGGCTGTTACTGTCTCACCCAGAGCATTTCTTTGATTCATGTTTGGTTCTATGAGTACACCTAATGATAAATTAGACTTGTTAAATTCTTATAAGTAATGGAGTTACTATTGTTTGATCTTAAAGGAGCTTATTAATAATTCATTACTATTCTTTATCCAGTATAACTCATGATGGAAAAAAAAATTAACTTTAACTGGATATTTATTTTAAAACTAAAAACTTTGTTTATCCCTAAAAACAAAAATGGGGTCGGGATGTGTATTTCATGTTAAATATGTGGCATAAATTCACCAATTATTGACATTTTAAGGCCCTAGTGGATCTAGCATTTAATTTCGGAGGGGACTTCAGCCCAAAAGCTTTGGATATAACGATAATTGTTTTGGAAAATAAAGAAAGAAATTAATTACCTATATAAATTCTTGAAGTCCTGTTAATTGTAATTACAGGAACAATAATACTTTAAGAGATAATTTTTCCATAAAACATGGTTATATTTTACTATTTGAAAGCTTGAAAGCTCACCCTCCTCCCCTCACTCTAGATCCTGTCCTTTAACTTTTATAGTAATTTAGCAACAATTTTTTTATTATCCTATTCTTATGTTTTAAAGTCTGTTCTACTGATAAAGTTTTCTTTGAAATACTATGAAGTTTTCAACTTTTTGTGCCCACAATAAATGACAAATTTTGCACCTATTATTGACACTTAATTCCGATCAAACGAATTTATTTTGAAAAAAATATTTTTTATTTATAGGCACAAAATTATCATACATTAGTATATGAACACTTCAAAACTTATTATCAGTACCTTGATATCACGAAATAGTAAGAGAAAGAAAACTATGTACTATAGTAGATAAGTATACTTTGGTACATTTCAATCAATATTTAGAGAATAAGGAAATAGAACTTTTTAGTTTTTACTTTCACTTTCCTTTTTTGGGGAGGGATCCTCACCTTTAAGGCTATACGGGGTTTTCCCGGGACAGAGGGTGTGGTCGGGATTAAAGAGCCCCCACACCGGGACGCGAACTCGTGACTATTTTAAAATCCATTGTCTCATATATCAGCTTGCCGGACAACGACAGTGCTATGCACACACGTTAGCCCGTTCGGCCACCCCGCCCACGTTTTTACTTTCATTTATCCCTCCCTATATGTAATATGTAGTAAAGAAAAGTATTGCAATCGTGAAAATCTGAGTTTTCAACGGAAATACACGTTTTGAGGTTCCCTGCGTCAAAATAACTAAGTCCCACAGAATAGTCTGTGTGTATTTTAACAGTCTAGCTCAAAACGAAAAGTGGAAGCTGAAAATACATATTTAAGTTATATATGCCATTTTTTCTTTAAAGTCAGCTAACCGGAAGTTCCATTTTATATTATAGATTTTCCTCAAAAAGGCTCAAACGATTTTGATTAAATTCGGAGTATCAATGTATAATTTTATAATAGCCCAAAATTGCTAGAAAATAATTTATATTTAAAGTAGAGCGTGCCAGTGAAAAGTGTGTGATGCACGCACCAGATTATTTTATTTTCAAACACTAACAGGCTTTGACAATTTGGTAATAATGACATGCTCTTATCTCATCCACATCAAGTTGGAAAACATTCTTCAGTCTGTTGTATGCTCTGAGAGGGATAAAAGAAAACTTTATAAATAAATAAAAGAACCTTTCCTTCTGAACCATGAAAACTCGACAAGCCACGATTGCCTTTTTCCTTTTGGTAATTATTGTGGCTGTGATGAAGTAACGCTTACTTGTCCGATTTGAATCCATTTCTGCCGTAATTTCAACTTCTTCAATGTTTTTCTATTAAAAATTGCAACAGCAACACCATTTTTCACAACATTGAGAGCTGCCAACATTTGCCTCTTTTCCGTATTTTTTTTTCTTTCTGAAATTGGGTTCTTCTATGTCTGTCATTTTTTTTTTCTTCTTATAGGGAATCGTTTGAACCTATTGAAATGCCAACCTGTAAAATAAAAACAACCTAGGTTCCCCTAACTACATATTCATTCATCTACTTACCGACCCACAAAATTGACAAAGGTAGGTGCCTTCGATTTTGCAAATTATGTGATAAATGAGAGATGTCAATAATTGGATATTCAAGCAGTCTAAAACTGGTGGGTCCCAATCCAATTATTGACACCTCCATGAACCTAATATTGACAGCTCATCAATAATTGGATACTTTTGTCTTTGTTAGAAAATAAAAGCATCATTCTATTACAAATGAAAAAATAAACTGTAATGCCATATAAACACAATTTTTATGAAAAACCCAGTTATTGACACTTTGTGTCAATAATTGGGCAAACTTGTTATTTTGAAGATCCAATTATTGACATCCATAACATCAATTATTTTAATCGAAATTCACATTTGAAAATGATATCACATCAACAGGAAGTGGTAACAAAATGTGTCTAAAAAATCGAAGCTCGTAAACTTTTGAGGGGGAGATAAAATGTTGCCCCAACCTTCTTATAAAAATCCGCAGTGTTTCAGCGACTGATGTGGAGTGATCAAAAAGAAATATGCGTTTCCCACATAATGCAACCTTAACTGAGACCATTTTGGCGGAAATCGGTGGCTGATTAATGTAGCTTTGAAATGGTGCCAAGTTTGAAATCCTACATGAACCTAAACGCTTATTTTATCAATTTTAAATTACAAGTGTCAATAATAGGTTCCTGTATCCTACATTACATCAGGACCTGATATGGAAAAAAATATTTTATTTTTAAAAGTTTCAGTATCATCGGAATTTTAATTGTCGATAGTTTTTCAGTTCTTTTAGAAGTAGAACATTTTCCCTTGCAACTTTTCAATTAAAGATTTGACAGAACTTTTATTTTTAAAAAGCTTTTATTTAAAACTTCTGTCGATTTCGCTAGGGCGATCTAAAAATGACTATTCATAGCTACTCAAACAAACGACACATTTAAATCATCTGTAATTTATTTAAGACAATTTATTACTAATCTAAGCCCAATTAATTTTTATTTTTCATTTAACAGAACTTTGTGGAACTTGAATAAATAAATGTTAAATGTAGCATCAATACCAATCGTTACCATAATTAAGCTTGAGATTCTTGAGATTTTGTATTTAAGGATGTTAGGATTAATTAATTGATGTTATTTGTTATTGTATATCCTACCTACAACACTGTTACTGGCAACACTGTCAGATGTGACGTCAGTGATCACAACAATGTATACTCCTCGATATGGCTTCTATGTTTGTAGTGTTCTTCCACAATAAACGTTTCTGTATTGTCTATGTTTGTTTCATAAAGAAACCCTAACCATTATTGACAAAGGAAGGGTATAGGCCTGGATGTTATAGCAACATTTTCCTGAATATCGGCTAACCGAAGTGCCACTTTAATTCATCCATTTTACTCATCTTTACAATTTGCTCAAAAACGGTTCTAATGATTTTTATTAAATTCGATAAAAACATGTAAAATTAGATGGTCATTAATATCAGCGAGGTCTTCTTTTCATTGATGGCGTTTAACTGGATTTAAATGCTTAATATTAGAAATTCTATTCTTTAAAGCACCTTTAATTTGATTTATTTTAAATAATTAGCTGTCTCTCATTGTTAGTAGTACTAAAAAAAGACTCAATATAATTTCTATTTAAAGAGAGCGGTAAGTGAAAGTTGCGTGATGCGCTCATCAGATTTTTTATGATTTTAATTTATAACTTATTATTTTATCTATTACTTGTTTACTTTTATTATTTTAAAAATAATTATTAACCTGTTATAAATTCGATGTTATCTACATTTCCATAGTTTTTTTCCAAGATATGATTCCATTTTGTAGTCTTCATCATATCAGTAAATGTGTTGTAAGGCTTCAAACCAGCTATCGCTCTCATCCTATTAAAACTGGGTATTCTTAGTTTTCGTCCCATTTCTAAGATATATTTGGTCGTTTCAGATAAGATATCCAAAGTATTTTCTATACTTACCTACAAAAATATGCACACAGTTTACAACTCAAAAAAGATTTATTATACAGACACGGTGTCCATTATGTAATGGGAATATTTAATGATGTGATAATAGACTTTAAGAGCTATAAAAATGTTCGTATAAACCATGGTCCGATTTTCCACAGACAAGTTTTTTTGTTTTTTTGTGTCACATTTTCGTTGAATAGGATGCGATAACTAAAAAAAAAACTATTTCATTAGATAATTAATAATTCCTTCACAGTAAACTAGATGTTCTTCAAATGTAAGTAGAGTTTCTTCCTTAATAATTTAATTACGAAATTACACTTTTTATTTATAATGTGTAAAAAAACACTATTTTCAAAAACTTCTAAAATCATCCTTAATTAAAATAATTGATTAAGAGGGAAAATTGGGCGGTTGAGCGTAATCTCTGTCTTATCACTTCCTTGCACAACCGTAGACCAAGATACAGTGATTTCCTTAAGTAGTACTGAATCCAAGACCCTCCATGGGTTGTAGTGGTACAGATTTTTTTTTTTTTTTTTATGAATTGGAATGCCTCAGAAATTAAAAATCGGGCCTGTACACTGTAAGTGAGAAAATTGTTCAGCATTTCACCCTAATAGGCTATAATTCAGAATTGTATTTTAATGCATCGCCGTGTTAGGGAAGCGAAAAGGAAATAATATTGTCGAAAACCAAATGTTAAGGTTAGCTGAACATATGGATTAAAATATTTCAGATACTAAAAATCGGAACTGTATACTGTAAGCGAGGGAAATGATCAGCATATCATCTTCTTTGTAATGAGCTATTGTTTATAATTTATATTTCATATTATTAATCTCGCCTTGTTGATGTTTTCACTTATATCGTGTTGCCTAAAGCACACACCTTAGTTCTTTTGTTTTTTCTTGAAGGTCTCCCCTTCTTTGCCTTTTAGGATGCACCGGTTTTTTCCCGGGCAGGGGGACAGGGCGGCGAATTATATCAAGTTAAAATTCCCATCGTTCACCGAGATTTGAACTTGTAACTATTTTTCCATTTATAACTTCGATTAATAGATTGCTGGGCAACGCGCGGTACTGTGCCTACGCGTTAGCTCGCTTGGCCACCCCGCCTTCCACTATGCATACGTGACTAGGAAATTCAGTTACAGATAAGAAACACATAACAGACATCACACCCCACGCCAGTCCTGCCCTTGCATCCTTATCCTATTCCATTTTCCCTTCCACTCCAACTGAGACTATTCAAACAATCTTGATAATCGTTTTAGCTCGTTCCTTCTATTTAACACTATTGGCTGTATACTGTCCTTCTAACAATTCTCTTTCCTATTACCTTATTCCAATCCCTCGAACCGCGCTTTATTTTTGTATGAGATTATTATGCTAATCACATATGAGAACAAGATTTGTTCATTATCCAACATCCACGGTAATATATTATCGTCTGTTTCGACCTATTATGATTATTATTATTATTATCATGAGCTATAATGATTATTCAACCTTTTCCCATGAGCCATACTTATTGGCCAACTTCTCTAAAAAACACGTTGATATCCCGCAAATATATGTCACCTCTCAGATTTCTTCTTCCCATATTAAAATAACATCCTAGGATGATCTTTTTTCAGATCATAGCGAAGATCTGCTTTCATTATATTCAGCATTCGCTCCTAAGCCCTGGATCCTTTTAAATTAATTACAGAACCAATAAATGGGCAAATTTTGCAACTGTTTTTAAATAAATTTGGACTTATAAATGTCACTCAATACAATACAAGAGATTGGGAGAGCCATAGAAACACCAACACCACTAATAACAGATAATATAGACGATAACTCATCGGCCAATGGAATTAATGATTCCCAACAGAGTAACTTGCCGCATGTTCTTATCTTATTAACGGAGGAAACAGAGCAAGATCGAAGAGGGACCGGAATGGGTATATATCAGATAAAACATATCCCGCCATGTTAACTAAACGCAGAAAATAAAAAAAATAAAAATTTGCTTAATTTAACTGTACAATCCATTGTAAATAGCCCATAGAATGAACAAATCAGATTCTCAAAATTAAGCGGTGTACGTTCCAGGTTCTATTACGGGTAAATCCAACCTTAAGGAGTGGTGATTTTTTCCGGGCAAGAACACTTTTAGAATAGTTTCTCGGGTGCAGTATTGTAAAACCATTGAACAACCTAAAATATGCAGTGATAGGTACTTAATACATTAAAAATATTTTACTATGTTTAAATTTATAGAGTATATAAATTTACACAACTTTTTTGATGTATTATTTATTTTGAATTAAACAAATTTTCGTCCGAAGATATATTACTAAATAAAATTATTGTTCCAAAGTAATGTCTGTTCATATCCCGAATCATAAATACAAACCTATTCAACATAACCTGTGATTAATGCTAATATTTTTGATTGGAAACTGATGCGAATATTATTTGATAAGAATGAGTTTTCATTCATCTGCATCATTCAAATTTCACTCCATTTCGATATATCACGCCATATTCCTTCAGTCATGCAACATTATTCTATTTCCAGTTTAAATAGTTATTTAATTGAAAAAAAAAAGGTTGGTAAAAACTTTTTTTTTCCTTTTTTTTTTTTTTTTTTGTTCTTCCCTACCTCGCCTTTTAGGCTTTACGGGATTTTCCTGGACCGGAGGGTGAGGGCGGGGAATTTAAAATCCCCTCCGGCACCGGGATACGAACTCATACTTTTTATCTTCCCAAATCTCTTATCCGGTTGCCAGGCAACTCGCGGTGCAGTGCACATGCTTTAGCCCATTCGGCCACCCCGCCCCCTAAGCTTGGTAGAAACTACTGTTGCAGAAATGCGAGACCGAGACGAGCCTTGGTTTTGCAAACTCAGTCTTGGTCCAGGTCTTGGTCTTGCCCAAGAGTCTCCCAGTTAACTATTAGCTTATTAATATAGAGATATTACTGTATTTTTTTAGATAGAATAAACCTAACTAAGCCTCAATGAAAAATTAGAAGATTTAAATGCAAAAGTATATTGGTTATACAAAATCTTTACAAATAGTAACTAAGATTGTCAAGCATTAGTAACTATTTTGCCTCAATTTTTTTTTCAAAAATAATTTTTTTTAGCAGCGTTGGTCTTGGTTGCAACACTTAGTGTCTTGTCATCAAAGTGCAAGACCAAGACTGATTTTGGGCAACACTAGTAGAAACTGTTATTAATTAAAACAAAAAGAATATGGTGAAAAACCTTTTCAGAGGATGACACTTATTTTAATATCTGAACTAAAATAGTGTGTAAGTAAAAACAAGCGCTTAGTTCTAAATTATCTCACTTGACCAGATGGGCTAACAGCAAAGGCTTCTATCAAATTATTTAGTCCAAACTTCTTCACCAAATTCTGATCTAAGTTATTCCACAGTGACTCAGTGACAACAACAGTGTGATTATTAACAGTGAAACTGTCAGGAATAAGATTTGGCCAATGGAGAGCTAGAAATGTTTCAATAGGTAGTCGATTGCTTATGAGTGCATATTCAGCAGTGGAGTATGATGGATCATAGAATAAATTCGTCTTGTAACCCATTAATACAGGGTACCATTCAGATAATGTAATAACTAATAGTTCACCTGAAAAGGTTTGCAGATAATAGGAAAGACATATTAACATATTAATGTTAAAAGTGAAATAATATGACACATACCAGTTACAATGTTTCTTGCAGTGTCGAATAGTCTTTCATCATCCCAACTGGGCCATATTTTTGCCAAAATATCGCAAACTCTATTATGTTCTCTAATCCATAATGTAGCAAATACATAGGTCAATGAATTTTGTTTTAAAATATTTACTTTCCAATCATCCTGTTCTGTTCTTCCCTTTTAAAGATGAATAGTATTTAAATATTCTGAGAGGTCTATAATAGTAAAATATTGTTATTTTGTAAGCTATTACGATTGTGCTCAAACATTCATTATTTTCGTTTTTGATATGCCAAATTTATGATTAATCAACAGAAAATTGTTTGAAGTAATTATTATCATTAAGAAGTTATATAAGATAATAGTGATAACAATTAGTTTTATAATTTTATATACTTAATATAACAATATATAATAAAATTATCATGAGACATTTGTTTTCCGTAATTTTTGAAGTAACATGATTTTTTTATACTTTAATTTAATTAACGGATTTAAAGTATGGCCACACACACATATTATTAGACAGAAGAACAAAAGTTGTGGGTTAATAATATGATAAAAACAACTTTTTCTGCAAATGACAACATTTTACGAAAACATTTAAAATATCTGTTGTATCTGTAGACTGGTTGAAGAATAATTTGCATATGTATACATAATCTAATAGAAAATTTAAGTCTCTTCAGCTCCTTTAAATAAATTTCTTTCTCAGATGAACAATAGCTTAGAAGATATGAAGGAATGTTGGTGAAATGAATGTTTTTATGTGAGGTAAAATGATTTTTTTGGTAAATGTCATCTTTTTTCAAACGTGTAGCTCGAAAACGGTTTAGAATTCGGATCAAACTTATAGGTTACAAGTTTTAGACATTTTTATAAACTTTTATTTATTATACGAAATGTTTCCCCTGCGATGCACTGTACTGTTTTCGAGATATTAGCGAAAATAAAAAATTGTGACCTTTCATCCCTCCCCGTCTCTCCTCCCCGACTCACTTTCTAGATTTCAGGACGTTTAGTATGTTCACATCCCAAGCACCCTGAACAAGTTTCTGAAGGAATCGCTGAGGTCCCTGCTCAAGGACTCTTTATTGACTGGACTATATAGGAAGGTATGAAACAATCAGAAGAGGAACTGACAAAGACGAAGCTGATAATGTTTCGAAGTTAAAATTTAACAAATAAAGCGAATAAAATTAGAATAAATAAATTGGATAAGATCTGATTTTTTTATTTTATTATTTTCCAGTGTGCAACCGAATCCTGGTCCGTTCCTACTGACAACCTGTGTACAGCACACTAGCAGATCTCTCCTCCCCCCCCCTATGGAGGCTTGAAAAATGTAGAGAGGTGCAGGGAAAATTCATTCTCATGTACGAGTTTCCTAATGTAATATAAAAAAAATATATTATTGTGACCAGCACTAGCGATTCTGCCAGGGAATGCGCCCTCCCTTAGAAAGTGGAAAAAAGTGACAAAAAACACCTTTTTAAAGAAAAGAAAAATTCATCCTGTAAGACGAATTTTCAAATGTGATATAAAAAAAATTATTATCGTGACCAACTATGGCTTGTGCTCCTGTCGCAGTTTGTTCCAATTGACTCCGACCTGAGTCTCGTAGGTGAAATATATGATGCAGGAAAATTAATTTAAAAAAAAAATTAACTTCATTTATTTTTTCGAACAACCTTTTATTCGAGCACAAGAAAATATGGGTTTTCTCCGGGAACCATATTTTATTCAGTTCCAATATTGCTGGACGCTTTGTAACGTCCAGCAACTATAGGCCCCTTGAATAATCCATACGATTCATAAAACTGGCCACGATAACAATTTGTTTTTTTCTCATCAGATAGTGTTGTTCTTTTCTTAAAATAGCTGCTGTTGGGAACGTTTTCATGAAGGAAGGTACTGATTATTCAGACTCCAATTTTATCGGAATCTGATTATGATCGGAATCCCAAATTATTCTGATTTTTTTTTTTTTAGAGAACTCATTTCCGAGCTGCAGGGACATTTATAGTAATCTTTCTCATATTTTAACAATGTCGGTAAAAATTAGCGTTCATTGACCGTTGTTATCGACCATATCACTAAATCGAATTATTAAGTTTAGGTATTCGTTCGACAAAAAATTGGACTTTCTTTAATTTCTTAAAGAATACGTTTTTCACTTTCATGCACTGTTTAGTAACGATACATGAAAAAAAAAAAGATCAGTAAATCTGGAGTTTTTGGCTGTAAAAAGTTTTCTCTTGGTGACCCGTGTTAGCAATTTAGTTGTTTACATGCCTAACCCCATGTACAGGACGTCTCGTGAGTAGAACGAAATATTTAAAGGAGTGATAGGAGAACTCGATAAATATAAAAAAGTTTATATAAACTATGGTTCGATTTTAAGCAGGAAAGTAGAGAATTAAAGTTTTGTGATTTTTTATGTATCACGTTTTTTGTTGAATAGTAAGTGATAAAAAAAAACTATTTAATTTAAGTAATTAACGAGTGCTTCACTGTAAACTAGACACAATTTACTTTAAGCTAAACTCAGCTAAGGAGTGGGGGGAGATGGGTAGACGTGGAGGAACGGGTCCTTACCCCCACCCTTGTGGGGGAAGCACCTGGTACAGAGGTGCGCCCCCTCTAGTAAAATTCCTAAATCCGCCACTGGTACAGCATATGTTAAACACTTTTTGAGTTTGACATTGCTTCCAAATCATGGGTGGATACAGAGGAAAAGATGTTTGTTTTCTTTTTAGTTTTTATAAAAAGTCTAACACTTTGATGAAGTTAAGTTTAATTCCCGGTTTATTTACTAATAATTATTCGATTTAGATTTTTTTTTACGGAATTTTGTCATTTTTTAAGTGATTATATATATAATTATCTCTGTGATTTTTTACTAGATATTTGATCAGAGTTAATTATTTAAAGATGTTTTCTAAATAACACACTGCGATTCTCGAAGGTCTTTTTGAGAACAGTGACTCATAAAATAATAATATGTAGTAAATTTTATGATTTTCATAAGAGATTCGGTCACCTAAATCGGCTCTAGATCCAACCACTGTACAATGTCCAGAAAAATGTGTTGGCATCGATCCAATGTGCAGTGAACGGACGGATTTTTTTAAATTCGATTTTCATATTCTTCGTATCTTCAATCGCAAATCCTTAAATTTTGAAGGTGGTTATTATTTCTTTCTTTTTTGTACTGGTCGATCAGAAGGTTCATTATTGAATGTAATATATTAAAATTTATATTTCAAAAAACGAAATTATAATGAGCGGTAATTAAAATAGGAAGTATTTAAATAACATGATCAGTGTTTTTAGTTTTTCTCACATTTCTTGGTTCTACATAGATTAGCCTTATTCTGATCTAAATTATGCCAAGATGACGTTCTTGCTCTACATGGCTGTCATATTAATGACCTCCTTAATTTGTTTTACAGACTTACTAAATAATGAGCAAATGTTTTCTTCTGGCTTCGTTGATGTTGCAGAGGATATTCTTCTCCATTATAAACTTCAGTGACTACTTTTCCTTTATGATATGTTCTTTTATGTTCGGCATATAAGTGAGAACATGTAATCTGAAGAGTGGAAAAAAATAACAATAGTACCAACAATCTTTTTTTAAACAACTAATTAGTAATTTTACTTGCCCCATTCAAATTCCCGTGGCTCAAAAATTGTAGGAAAAAATGAGATCCATATACCGTAAAAAGTAGGTTAGTTGTTTTACTAGCATTAAAACTTTGACGTTTCAATAACTGGTTATACACTTCGGAGGTGGCTTTAAAAGGATCCTGACCTAGAAATTTCATATAAAATTATTAACAGGTTCATTGTGTTGAGAATTGGCTGGGTTCACGTTCAAACACTATTTTCTCTTAATTAAGAATGCCCCGCAAGTCAGGGGTGCCCAGAAGGGGGTTTCATGGCACAAGTTGCGCCATCAAAATTTTTCAAGGGGCATATTTTGGCGGGTTTTTGATTTTTTGAAGGGAGCAAATTTCGACGGGTTATGAATTTTCTAACAAAGGGACAAGCAAAAACATAGGACAGACCGCAGAAAGTGTAATTTTATATGATCTATAATTTTTCTGATTCTACCTTAGCTTGCTTTGTTTTTAAGAAAAGGTAAATAATAAAATATTTTGTGAGAAGGGGAGGAGGTAGGTTCTTGCGCCATCGACCTTGGGGAGGGGGGATGGGCACCCCTGCCGCAAGTAAACGGAAATATTTAAAGATGTGAGAACTTAAGAGCTACAAAAAAGGTCATATGTACCATATTTTATTATCACTCACTAACTGGACTACAGATACCTTATCTATAGAAAAACTTTAACCTTTATAAATTTAGAAGCCTAAGTAGAAGAGGATGGATTTTCCCTATACTTCAATTTTTTTTAAATAGGTGTTTTTGGAACTTTTTTTCAGAATTTTTTCCAACATCCAAGAAAGGGCGTGCCCTCTGACAGAATTCGCTAGTGCTGGTCACGATAATGTTTTTTTTCTATTACATTAGGAGATTCGCCTAAGAGGATGAATTCTCCCTCTATTTTTCTTTAAATATCTGCTTTTAGGAACTTTTCCGGAATTTTTATTCCTCCATACAAGGGACGGCGCGCCCCCTGGCAGAATTCGCTAGTGTTGTTCACGATAATTTTTTTTTCTATTACATTAGGAATTTATCTATGAGGATAAATTTTCCCTATATTTCTCTTTTCTTTAAATAGTTTTTTTGTAACTTTTTCGGTATTTTTTCCAACTTTCAGGGGTGCGAGAGAGGGAAGGGGGCCTAGTGCCTCTACTGATAGGAAAGAGTCGGATCTTAGAAAAATGGGTAAGTCGATATAAGAACGATGTTGTGGCCTTGCAGGAAATAAGGTGGAGAAAATACTAACTATAATAAAATTTAATGAATATTTTCTTCTCAATAGTGAACATGTAGAAAATGTAGTTGGCACTGGCTTCACGACCAGGAAGAATATAATGCATGCTATTTTGGGATATAAGACATAAGGGGAAAGAATATGCTCTTTAAGATTGAGAGGAAAATTCTTTAATATCTCTCTAGTAAGTGTTCATGCACCCACGGAGGATAAGACAGACGAGAAAAACGGAGCATTTTATGAACAATACGGGAGAACGTTTGACGAAATCCCAAATATAATGTCAAAATTATACTGGGAGATTTTAATAGCAAAATAGGGAAGGATGAAAGTCTGGGAAAAGGAGTAGGAAAATTCAGTCTCCTTAACATGTTTTGGCGTAGGGAAGTGGCGACCCCATCGCCCAGTCACGTGACTGCAATCAGCCACTGGTCCTCCAGGTTGGGGGAACAATAACTCTGACACTTAGACAGTACACCAAATACAGCACACTACATACACCACACATTAACATTCAAAGGTCATCAACGGTACACACCCTAGGGTCACCTTCCCTAGGTAGCCGCCCCGGACGGGTAAGCGTGTCAGGATGCTCTAAGGAGGCAGCCCTTTCACCTGACTCGAGGGCAGAGTTTGGGCTGATAATTCCCTCCCCTTAAATTTAATTATTGCGAAGCCCGTACAGAGACAAGCTGGACTGAACCTAAGGCAACGACACAGCACCCATCTAATGGATTTTAAACTTGGAACATGGAACACTCTATCACTATACCGACCGGGAGCTCTAGATCAGCTCCTAACACAATTGGACCGATATAAAATAGACATAGCTGCGATCCAATAAATAAGGTTGACAGGCTAGGGAATGTTTAACAAGAAAAATCATACTATCTATTACAGCTGTCATGATCATCTGCATACCTATGGATCTGGGTTCATCATAATAAGAAGCTGGCTCAGCTCGTTGTTGGATTTAATGCTATTTCTCCCCGAATATGCTGTCTCCGAATGAGAGGTAAATTCTATAATTTCAGCATAATGAGCATCCGTGCACCAACAGAGCCAACGAAGGAAGATGAAAAGGATCGTTTTACCAAGATCTTGAAAGAAGCATTGATAGTTGTCCGAGAGCTGCCCTCCTCCCCTTATTTTAAAATAATGTACCTCCTTTTGACAACGCTCTCGCAATTATTTCAGATGAAATTCTCATTTAAAAGGAAAAACTATTTTAAAACAAAATAATAATGAATTCCTGGTATGGGCATACGCACAGGAAGGCAGGCCTTGCCTCCTCTAAATATTACTGATGTTACTTATTGATTGTAATTGCCTCATGTATTGTGCCTTTAATATTCTTGAGAAACAAACCAATATTATATCTACTATCTTTTAAACTCACATTGATATTACATATCAATGTATATCCATATCAATACATATCTATATGTATCTCATATAGACATATATTAATTATATAAGTAAGGGACAATATTTTTTTTTTTGGGGGGGGGGGTGGAGAGGTAACATGCGCCATCGGCCTTGGGGGATGAGCACTCCTATAGTCAAACAGCTCTGTAGAAATAAAAAGAGAAAGCCCGAAAAAGAAGAACGGATTTTGAAAACAAAAATAGCAGTCTTCTTTGGCGAAGTGAGGATTATAAGAAAAGGGTTTCAATCTGGAGCCTATTTTTGTAGAGGTAAAGACAATCAACTCTTGGCAGGCAAATAGGAAGTAATGGAAATATGGAGAGATTACTCACAAAATATTCTAAGCTCTAATCCAAATCAGGAAGAAACGGCTTTGGTACCAGAAATAGAAATGACGGAGGAAGAAATAGAGCTGGAACCTTCAGATCCTGAAGAAGTAGAGGAAATAATTCTGAATCTAAAAATAACAAAGCACTAGAAATTGGTGGGATCCCAGCAGAAGCATTTAAATTAGGAGGAGAGACAGTGCACAAGGAAATATATAAATTGATGTCGGAAATTTGGATGAAGGAGGAAATATCAGAAGAATGGAAGGTGGCTGTTGTTATACCAATTCATAAAAAAGGGGACAGACTGGATTGCGAAAACTATAGTGGCATTTCGTTATTGTGCACAGTGTACAAGACTCTATCAACATTTCTGATGAAACGGGTTGTGGTGAGAGCCGAAGAAGTGTTAGGCGAGTACCAATGTGGATTTCGCCCTGTAAGATCTAAAATAAGATGCCATGAGTAGAATGTCGATCAACACCACCTTTTTATAGACTACAAGCAAGCCTATGACAGTATATAGAGAAATAAAATAAAATAAAACAATAAAAGTTTTGGGATGCTCGTCGAAGCTTATCAGGCTTGTTATGATGACCCTGCAGGATAGCAAAGGTGTGATGAAAATTTAAGGTGAGTTTTCGAAAGAATTTGACATCCAGAAGGCTGTGAAACAGGGAGATCCTCTTTCCCCAGTATTGTTCAATTTGGTGTTAGAAGTAGTCATGAGATCGATCCGCACAAAGTCAGGAGGATGTATATATGACAGGATGACTCAACACCTAGCATTTGCGGATGACGTAGTCATTACAGGAAGGACATCCAATGCACTCTTAGGAGCCTACGAGGAGTGTGAAGAAGCTGCAAAAAGCGCAGGACTGGTCATAAATAAAGATAAAACTAAACGTTTGTTAACAACGACTTAAAAAAAAATACACTACTTCCAAAAAAAAAAAAAAAAAAACTTATGCTTTTAGATCAGGAAATGTATTATTTGAAGCGTCTATAGATTGAAAACGGCTAGTTCTATTTGACCCATACTAGGAGGAAACTAGGAGAATAGTGTAGAAATTACCTAGTATCAATTTCACTGAATTCCATTTAATAATTAAAATTAATATAAATAATTGTTAACAATATAATGGCTGTGAAATGTGGAAGGCTTCGATCATATGGAGTGGGAGTTAGGTTAATACAATATTTTTATGGAGTAATACAATTTCAGATTTTATTCAAAAAGTTAATCTATACTGTTTTTTTTATTGTATTGCTTGGTTGATTCCAAACCTTAGCTTACTTCCGTTACTTAGATTTCTTGTATTTTTCAGCAAATTTAAATTAATTTGTAACCTGAGTTCGAAAAAAAGTCTTATTTGTGATTGTGTTTATTTCTATTGAAGCTCAACCAGCTTGTTGTGGTCTGGATTTTCCCCATAAATACCAAATTGTGTTAACTTCATGCATATTTTTATATTCTAGTTTAATTAGTTTTGTTCTGACTGAAGAAAAGTATTGGTCTGTTTAACTCCGAACAAACATAAAGTTAAATTTTTCTTTTGGATTTTTAGTTCCATTCATTTTACGAATAAAAACATACCTATTAAATATATATATATCATTACTGTTAGTGCAAAATGCCGTATGTAATAATTTTCAATTTTATTCTATTTTTGACATTTTGTAGTCTGCAACTGATATAAGTAGTCTGATACTAAGGAAAACAGCAGAGGGCATTAAAATATGAAATTATACTAATAAATCATAAAGAAAGTATTAATTTTTATGTTCTCCTGTAAAACACTCAAATTTACACCCGACCTTTTGCACTAACAGTAGCGATATGCATATAACTGCATCAATGCATATCAAGTTTAGTATGCACTGATTTTTTACTTTCCTACATATACTAGGTAAGGAAAGTATTGCAATCGGGTCAAATTTCCGATATGCATTAGTTTTCGACGGATCTATATGTTTCAAAGCCTCCTGAGTCCGAAAAACACATTTTTAGACATTGGTCTGTCTGTCTTTCTGTGCCAAGATTTTCTCGGGAACTACTGAACCGATTTTGTTGCTTCTTTTTTTATGTTATAGGGTTTTGATTACTGACGCCTGTGACAAAAATTCGGAGATTTTCAATAGTGAGAATTATATATAGATAGATTTATATATAATAAAAAAAGTTTTTTAGATAAAAGAAACTGGTGTTTTTTAATAGTAAGAAAGATAAATGTTACTACCTTTTGTACCTAATGGTGTCGGACAATACTTAGGAACAGAAGGAGTAATTCTAACAGCACTATTACTATCATATAGTGGATTTAATGCTGCATAGGACTTCCCATCGATACCATACATCCCGACAGTATGCATTTTACATAAAATATCTGAAAAGAAGTTAGAATTATAACATGAATATGGAACGAGCATATTTATGTATATTGGGAAGCAAACCAAATCTATGAGTTTTCCTGCTTTTAATCGTAATATAAGAAAAAACAGTAAACTTTTTGATAAATCATTTTCATTTCTAATGGTTTGTATTGGTTTTAAATTTAGTGCATGGTATGCAGTAGTGGTATTATGGTATGAAGATGTTATATTTCAACTCAATCCCCCCATAGCTAATGGGTTTGCTTTTATAGTAATAGTAATACCAAGACAAACTCTGATCTGCGTCTAAGGAAGTTTTTTTTAATTCGATTTTACATTAACAAGATTTTCGTGTTTCTTTTTCATGTATTGCCACGTAGTAACTGTTATTAATATAAAAATAATTTAAAGTTTCGCAATTTTTTAAAAAAAGGACTATTCGATATTCCTATTTCGTCTTCCCTAAAAAAAAAAAAATATATATATTACTTTAAACAATGCTTCTATGAATGATCGGACCATACTTCAACAATTATCACAAGCAGTGCAGGCCTTAGGCAATGGCCCGATCTTGATGGGGGGTTCGCCACTTGTTAGAAATTTCAAAAAATACAAAACCTATTAAAATAATTAATTATAGCTTATCAATACAGTGACTATGTTGGAGAAATGTTGAATGATATAAAATCCATATATAACGTAATATAAAATAGCTTAAGAAATAAATTTAACTTTTCTAGGAGAGGAGGAGATGACGTCTTATCTCGTGGGCGTCGGATATCTAAGGACGATACTGTTCATAGGGATATGTTCTCTAATTCAAATGGTGTAAAAATCCCAATTCTTTTTCCAGTGCAGGTGCATCTATCCCCAGATCCCGGGTGTTAGTTATAAATCAAATCTTGGATCTGCTCCAGTCGTTTAGTCCAGTAAATTAATGGTTATAGAGCTATGAACACAATTTTTTACTTTGGAATGGTGTTTATACCAGTTAAAAAGTTAACATTTTTAGTCCCCTACTTAAGGAGGAGTAAAATGTGGAGGAGGAAAAGGGAGAAAATATCCAGAAGGTCTCTTTTTCGGTTTTCCATTTGTTTCAGGAGGAACTATGCGACCTAGAGATAAGAATGTTATGTACAAAATGTTACAGGGGCGGGGTGGCCGAGCGAGCTAACGTTTGTGCACAGCACCGCGCATCGCCCGATAATTTGATAACCGAAATTATATATGAAAATAAAATTATGTGTTCGCGTCCCGATGCCGAGGGGAGTGTTTAACTCTGGCATTAATCCCCGTCCTCAACCTGTACCACGGGCGAATCTACGGAAGGCTTTGGGGCTGGTAAAATATAACCATGTTTTTGGAAAAATATTAAAAAATTATCTCTTAAAGTATTATTGTTCGTTTAATTACATTTAAAACGACTTTATGAAAAGCTTAAACACCATTTTATATAGGTAGTTAGTTTCTTTCTTTTTTCCCAAAGTAATTATCGTTATTTTTATGAAAAAAAAAGGTTTCGGGCTGAAGCTCCCCCAAAATTGAATCCTGGATCCGCTAGTGCCCCGTACTTCCTGCTGGGCGCTACGGTCCTACAAGGACTTCACCCCGTATCCCGGGAAATCTCCGTATAGCCTAAGACAAGGCAAGTAAGAGGAGAACAAAAAAAATAAATGTTATATACAAAATTAAAGGTGGTTACAAGATTTATTGCAATAATTTTTTTTTATATATTTTATATTTCTATGATACGCGCTAAATTTGAAAAAAACAGTAGAAACTTTTTCTCTCTTGTTTACTTCCACTTACATATACATGAAATATACAGTAAGTGAAAGTATTGCGATTGTGAAAGTTTTCGAATTCGAGTTTTCAACAGAAATACAAGCTTTGAGGTTTCCTGAGTCTATATAACCAAGTCTCGCAAAATGATGTGTATGTGTGTATGTGTGTGAACAGGCTAGCTCAAAAAGAAAAAATGCATAAATTGCTTATTTAAGGTTTCTACTTGGCTGAGATGTTACAGCAAAAATATTTCGTGGCACTTGATTATTTATTATTATCAAATAAATAATTAAAATACGAAATCGTTAAAGGCAATGATTAGTGATACACATTTCTGCTTTAAAAAAGAGCTGTAAGTGAATGTTGTGTGATGCGCGCACCATATTTTAATCTTTATTTAACTAATTATTTATCTCTTCATTCTGCCAAAAATGAATTGGGGAAACGGTTGCTGAGCGTAAAATTTCCTGCAACAATAAATATTATTTTATCACCACTTCAAAAGTTAAAGCAATTACTATAACCTTATATTCCGAGATTTTGTAGAAAAAAATAATTTTCGTATTTTAAGTTACGGCACTGCTCCAACTCTTCAAATAAGTTAACAAACGTATTAATGTATTTTTTGGTAGTTTTTTTTATTTATATGATTACATTTAGCCGGAGATTTTAATTCTATCTTTAGTCAGTCATAACATGTTATAATTGTAAAACGACTAAAGTAATAGACTATAGAATGGAGTATAGTCATAAAAGTTCTCCATTTTTTTTTTTTATAAAATAATGATAACTGTTTTGACTAATAAAGTAAATTCTTAAGGAAGTATAGTTGGCAAATGTCTTCCAAATATCTTTATATCATGTTTTTATTGCATAAATGATAAAGGAAAAGTATAGGTTTCAGTTTCGGATTTAACATTTGATGTGAGCCTGACAAAAGCTTTTCACTAGGCCCTTATAGTCTGTGGGCCAGACCCACTTACCGTGCACCCCCTCCCCCTCCCCCCACATCCCTATAAATTGCATATCGTTGTGTTCCTTGTGACAATTTATTAAAAAAAAGGCAATGTTCCCACAAAAAAAACTGAACGAACTGCCCCAAAATGGCGCCCAAACATGGCGGATTGACGACTTTGACTTTAGTTAGTTTTTTTGTTACTGAGAATCAGTATTTGGCTTAATTTCATCATAGTTGGTTTTTTATTAAAGCTGGATAGTCAGAGAATAATAAAACATGAACAAATATTAAAAACTAATTGGTTTAGGTATTAAAAAAAATCAGTAAAGTCAATTATTTTTACAAAAAAATTTTCAAGTTGAAAATCAGGCGTCGTTTGTAATTAAACGGTCAACATAATGCAAAATGTGCTGAAATAAAACATCTGGAAAATACATTTCTCTTTCTAAAACACTGATTATTTTTTAAAATATTTGAAGTAGTTCCGTAGAAAATGTACTTAAGCGGCAGAAAAGCGCTACTGGCGTAGGTGCCTTCAGGCCTCTACCACACCACTCAGTACTCATAAATGGCTTAGTTATAGTGCTATAATAACGTTTTTGTTATATTATATTGATTGTATTAACGAACAAATATTAATACAATAATTTAATTGTCAAAAATTAATATTTTTTAAAATTTATTATTATTTTTTTATTTATTTTTTAAATTTAACTTCCTTTATTCTATACGGAGGTCGCTTAAGAAGGCCTCTATTATAAAAATTATATAATTATAATAACAAAACTTAATTCAAAAATACTTTTCAGAAAATCTTGAATTTTTTATTTAATATTTGCAATTTAACATTTTGTTTTATATATTTACTGATTCTTAGAGGTAATTTAAATTGTATATACTTCCCCGGAAATCACAGGCGATATTACGGGGGGGCTTTCGGCTTAAGCCCCCAAAATGGTAAAATATAACCATGTTTTATAGCAAAAAATATTGAAAACTATCTCTTAAACTATTATTATTCGTGTAATTACATTTATAGGCTTAAGACCACTAAAACACTGTCATATGGTTAGTTAGTTTCTTTCTTCAAATTATTATCGTTATAGATATAAAAAAAATCCTTCGGTTGAAGCCCCCTCCAAAATTAATTCCTGGATCCGCTAGTGCCGGAAATGAGTCATATTAATTTCTGTTGAGACCAAATACTAACAATCAGTTCCAGTTACCTATAAGAACTTATAGCTTCGCCATTTCCATATTTCTTTTGTGCAGAGAAAATAATGCATTTAATATTAAAATTTCGTATTTTTTGTGAAATGGTCCAACTTCCGAAAAAAATAAAGGAAATAAAAATGATTTTTTTAATAGCGATATATTAATTTTACTAAACAATCCATCACCTATTCATTAAAAGTAGTTCAGATTAGGTATATATTATTTTAGTTTATAAAACAGAAATTAATATGACTCATTTCCGGGGAAGTATATACAATTTAAATTACCTCTAAGAATCAGTAAATATATAAAACAAAATGTTAAATTGCAAATATTAAATAAAAAATTCAAGATTTTCTGAAAAGTATTTTTGAATTAAGTTTTGTTATTATAATTATATAATTTTTATAATAGAGGCCTTCTTAAGCGACCTCTGTATAGAATAAAGGAAGTTTAATTTTAAAAAATAAATAAAAATAAATAATAATAAATTTTAAAAAATATTATTTTTGACAATTAAATTATTGTATTAATATTTGTTCGTTAATACAATCAATATAATATAACAAAAACGTTATTATAGCACTATAACTAAGCCATTTATGAGTACTGAGTGGTGTGGTAGAGGCCTGAAGGCACCTACGCCAGTAGCGCTTTTCTGCCGCTTAAGTACATTTTCTACGGAACTACTTCAAATATTTTAAAAAATAATCAGTGTTTTAGAAAGAGAAATGTATTCTCCAGATGTTTTATTTCAGCACATTTTGCATTATTGTTGACCGTTTAATTACAAACGACGCCTGATTTTCAACTTGAAAATTTTTTTGTAAAAATAATTGACTTTACTGATTTTTTTAATACCTAAACCAATTAGTTTTTAATATTTGTTCATGTTTTATTATTCTCTGACTATCCAGCTTTAATAAAACACCAACTATGATGAAATTAAGCCAAATGCTGATTCTCAGTAACAAAAAAACTAACTAAAGTCAAAGTCGTCAATCCGCCATGTTTGGACGCCATTTTGGGGCAGTTCGTTCAGTTTTTTTTGTGGGAACATTGCCTTTTTTTAAATAAATTGTCACAAGGAACACAATGATATGCAATTTATAGGGATGTGGTGGGGAGGGGGGAGTGCACGGTAAGGGGGTCTGGCCCACCGTGTATTACTTTCTCTCCATGGTCCTGAAAACATCCGAAATTGATATGGAAACAAAAATAGAGCAAATAACTGACATTACTTGTATAGATTTTAGTTTGATGGCTTTATATTATGTTAAAAGTGTGTTTTGTACTAGTTAAAGAAAACTCAAACAACTGTTAAACCTAACTAACTTAACTAATCACTTATTTAAAACAGAGAACAAAGAACATACCTCCAGCTATCTTGTAGTAACTCGGAAAGTACAATGAGTTTGTATTTATTAAAGAAAAAATGAAATAATGAATACTAATGATCATTTCCAATATCATATTAGTATGGCATTTAAAAAATGTAAACCATGTCTCTGAAACAAGTAATAAAGGAGTAAAAAAAAAAAAATCTTCCTTGATAAATATGTACCATTATCACACTAACCAATAGCACAATTTTTCCCATAATATCCAGTATTTTTGCAATCGCAAAAGTAGCCGAATTTCCTTTCTATACAAACACCACCATGCTGACAAGGAAAGGAACAACATCCCTCACTTTTTTCTTCTGAAAATTTACTTATTTTACATTTTATTATTTAAAAAAAAAAGCTGAATTGAGCATTTAAGTTGACAGGATGACTAACTCCAATTACAATGTTTTTGATTAATTATTTTAGTGTTATTCGTAGTGGGAAAATTTATACTTTTATCCACAGTTCTGTATTTCAACAGTGCTATCACCTACTCTGGAATCAAGGGCTCACTGTCTTTCTTTTATTATTATTATACATTTTCCAACTAGAAATATCATTCAAATGACTTTACTCAAAAGTGTTAAAATGGGAGTTAGTCATTCTGTTAACTGAAAGATTCAATTAATAAACAGTACAAAAAATTAAAGCTGGTCAAATAAAATGAAAGTATATACTATTGTAAAGACCTTGTGCAGAGTGGTACCAATATCTGACATGCCTGCTGCAAGCGATAAGATAATGTCACGGCAAAACAAATCCGCATCCATTGGCATTCATTATGAATATATAGTTTATTGTTTTTATCAATATATTTGTATTTAGATACAAGATGCTGTTCTGTTTTATTACTTTTCTACCTATACTAGGTAAGGAAAGTATTGCAATCGGGTCAAATTTCCGATATGCGGTTTTCGACGGATCTATACGTTTCAGAGTCCCTAGAGTCCGAAAAACACATTTTTAGCCATTGGTCTGTCTGTCTGTGCCAAGATTTTCTCGGGAACTATTAAACCGATTTTTTTTATTTTATTTTGTAGGGTTTCGACTACTGATGCCTGTGACAGAAATTTGATGCTGTGACAGAAAAAAACTGTTTGGCCTGTTTTTGAAAGTTAATGAAATTCCCTAAACAACTATATAAAAATCGTTCATTTTGGACAAATATTAACGAAGTTACAGCTATTCAATTTCCAATGTAAGATTACAGGTTCATATTCTGGTGTCAGGCCGGAGGGGGGGGGGGTGAGTGAGAGAATAAAGATGACTGAGTGATAGTAAGAAAATCTGTTGCCCCGCATCACACAAGCTTCACTATTTCCTCTACTTTTAACAGAAATTATTGTTTGACAATATTAAGATATGGCAAAAAGGTTTTAATCAGCAATATTAGTATTGAAATTTTTACACTGATCTACGTTAAGCCGGTTTACATTGCTTTAGTTTATCAAATAAATCGTACTCAAATCTTTTCTTTGATCACTTTTCAGGAAAATAAAAATAGTTCAACATTTTTTGTTTCTTCATGAACATATGTAAAGATAAAGATATAAAAACATTTCTGAAATAGATAGGGAAGTCGTGTGAGTGGACACACCAGATTTTTTTTTACTTTCACTTACTTATATGTTTGTTGTTGATTTTACTGTTAATTAGATCGTTTTCTGAGTGACTGTGATGATAATCTATCAACATAAGAAAAAAAATGACAAAATCTTAAATCAAAGGTCTGATGGTTCCAATATGTATTTCACCATCCTGTTAGTACGCCTAACATTTTTTCCTTCATCCCTTTCTCGCCTTTTCGGTTTAATCGGTTTTTTTTTTCAGACCTGGAGAGAGGGCGGTAGATTAATGTCAGAGTCAGGGTAATCCATCCCCCACCCAAGATAATTATGTTATCACAAATTATCTTTCATCAGGTTGCCGGGCAACGCGGTGCCGTGCATACGCATTAGTCCGTTCGTCCACTGCTCCGTATAGAATTACACTTGCTGTGGTCTGTTTAATGTTTTCCCTTTGTCCTCTTCTTTGAAATCGATTCCAAAAATTTATAACCCTGTTGTAATGTGCCTACCTCAAAAATTAAAAACTATGTAAAAATACGTCCCCTCAAAAATATTACACCCCACTAGCGGATCCAGGATTTAATTTTGGGAGGGAGGCTTCAGTCCGAAAGCCCCCCCCCCTCCCTCCGTAGATCCGCCCGTGATACACCCTTCTGGGCACCTCTGATCAGTGTTAAATGCCTTCACGACACCGCAATTCGAATTCGTAATCTTCGGTTTATCAGGTAGCCAAGAAACATGTTTTTTGCTTACGCACTAGGATGATCGGCCATCCCGCTCTTTTTATTTACCTATATGAAATATATAGTAACAGAAAGTTCAGAAAATACTTATTTATTTGTTTGAGAAGGTTCTTACTGACAAATTTGGGCAAATTGAGCTTACACTCAGAAATCACACAAAACAAAATGATCAGTGTTAGAAATGAATGGATTTTAATGCAGGTCCTATGGTTATAAGTTTATAACCTACGCGCACTATTCCACTCTACTATCCACTACTATCCAGAACAAGGAAGATAAGTATATATTTTTTCTAATGATAAAATTCTATACAATTATTGAGCTTCTCGAAAACGATAGTTTTAATTTTTATTTTTAAATTAAAATATCGTACGGACGATATCGATAGTCGATAATATATCGAATATCGGAAGAGATATTTCGATGTTTTCCTGAGTCTGCCGGCCTTGATGGAAACCAGCCTGTACCTACCCTTCCACAATCAGCTGTATTTTCCTTTCTAAAATACAGGTGTACAGTTTAAAGAGGACAAACAGCAGACTGATGGGCCTATAATTATTACAATCCGTTAAACTGCATTTTTTTATAAATAGGGAGAATCATGCTATATATCCAGTCCTTGGGAATTTTCTTTCTGTCATATACTTCCTGAAAGAGCTTTTGAATGGATTTAAGGAGTGTGAGACTACACAACCTTCACGGAATCGACTCAGTGCCCTTAAGGATGAACGAATAGGAATATGCTTAATTCTGTTCATAATACAGATACCCCACTTATGAAAAAACTTCCCTCTTTGATAGGCTTGACGTCCATAGTAATGGAGTTGAGATTTGTTCCCTAACATATTGAAATTCACATTTAGTTGTGTAATACAAAACATGCGTTGCTCGGCAATATGATAAATTGAAGATCACCAGTTCAAACTCCGGTGCCGGGGATTTTTAACTCTGGCGATAAACCCCTGGCCCGTAAAAAAATTCTGTATAGCATAAAAGGCGAGGAATCGAGGAAGAAAAAAAAAATCTTAGGCGTACTAAGAAGACGGTGAAAAATATAGTAGAACCACCACACAATTGTTCTTTTGATTATCTAGGTTTTATCATCGTTTTCTTATGTCAATAGACTATTATCACAATCGCTCTGAATAAAATATATCTCAGTGAGCCATAAAAAGAGATCGTAGGTTGCATTCTGCAAACTTGAGCTTTAAGAATATTTTTATGTTTTATCATTTTTTTCCTAATACTGAAAACCATAATCTTTTAACTAGTGATAATGGCGATGCTAACATAAGAAACTCTAGTTGAAAATTATATTATAAATACTTACTTTTCTTTGAGAGTAATTGACTCGAAGACATTGTTGTGTAATAGAGAATTATAATCATCAAAATAATATATGATGCTGAAAGCAGAATTAAACTTCAAAAGTGGACAACCTTTAAGCGCAATTAAATGCACTACGTTTCTTAACTTGTTTAATTTAGTTATAATATAATAAAATAATCTAATCAGGGGTATTTTGAATTTTTGGAGTAAGGGACATGGGGAAAACTTGGAACAGACCGCAGCAAATGTAATTGTATTTAGACGATTTTTCTAATTCTACCTCTGCTTGCTATGTTTTTAAGAAAATAAGAGCAATCAAATATCTTGGTTGGTGGGGAGGAGGAGTTAGGAAATGATATAAAACAATGAAATAAAGCATATTATATTTTTGATTTAGTGATATAATATCAGCTACGGAAGAAATCTTATAGATTTTTGTTTCTTGGTAACTCCTGTTATTCAAACAGTTTAACTTTATTTTTGCATTGAGGTCATAATTACATGATACGTTAACAAAAGTGTACACGTGAAACAAGGTCCTCTTGAAGATAACCATGAATTAAATTATCATAAATAACCATTTTTAAATTAAATATTGAAATAAGAAATTTGAAAAATCACTGGACATTCGAAAGAACATTCGATTAAATTTTGGTGACATTTTTCTCTCCGTTTATTCATCAGCAACATTAATCTGAAAATCGGTTAAAAATAACTTATTATTCTGCAAAAATGTTTATACTAGATTAGTTTAACAAAGAAATAAAGTTTAAAATAAGATTCAGTTATATATAACGGTTAGGCAATACAGAAGACTCCCTCTCCCAACCGTCGATTTGAAATTCACAAAACGATATGATTGATTCTTATGAATCTGAGTTGATAAAGAAAATTGAAAAAGATATTTGAATGATGTATTTAAACTAGCAGATCGTCTGAGTTCCCATACTTTAAAGAGGACCATTTATGTAGAGTTTCAATACCTTTTTTATTCATAAGATTGTATTTTTCGAAGTGTATTTTATTTTATTTAAAAGTATTTCATTTTTTACTTATCTTCAACGCACTGCTCTCTATGTGTGGATATATATGTGTGTGTGAGTGTATATGTATACATCTATATTTTTTTTTCTGCTCATAATCTATTGAGTCAAAGGTAGATCACAATACTTGTCTAGTTTTTCACAATATCTTAATGTGTTTTCACTTAAACGTCTTAAGGAACATATATAAATCATTTATTTACTCTAGTTATTTTATTTTTTTATATTTTTTTTAATCCTAAAATTGGTTGCCTATAAAACTTATTTAGCGTTTCTTTCCAATTCTATTTTGTTATTAGTCTGTTTTTGTTTTTTGTACCAATATTATAATATTGTAACCCATGTACCCATCTGCTTTCGTTAATATACCCTACAAACCATGTATATATTCATTTTAGATTTTAGTTACTCTTTATTATAATAGGTCATCTGGCCAGATTTATTGTCAATTGGTTTGAAAAATATTGTTATTCTTAAGAGAACTAGTCCCAGAATAAAGATGTTTTTCCATTTCTAAATGATGCTGGAGTTCATTAAATGAAGCCAAACTCTTTGATGGATTGAACTAATGCTTCAATTCTGTGTTAGTGAACAACTAACTTCATGAGTTTTATTAATAACCTACGTATTTGTTAATTTTGATATACTATCACTATTTCTTTTCTGTTTGAAGATGAAAAAACCATAACATTATATGAGTTAGATTAACGTTGTTAAGAATCCCATTTTAGCCATATATTTAGTAAGACACCTACATTGTCTATCTTTTCAGTACAAAGAAAACGTTCATTGCATCCCCTCTCACTCCTTGCTAGGCTTAGACAAAAGATACATATTTCAAGTCCGCTTTAAACAAAATTCAAGAGTTTCAAACTTGATGAGTTTCATTTTACGCTTATTTGGAATCAAAATCGGAACTAGAGAAAGTTTAATTCAACTAAGCTATCGGACCATCGATACTAGCCACAGCTTAGAATGCTTAAAAGATCCAATAACCCAGAAAATGAAAGAGAAGCTGAGATGGATTGGACATGTGGGAGTGCTTGGAAGAATGCATTGTTCCCAAGCGTTGGGTTAGAGGAAAACCATGTTTGAGGTGGATTGGAAGGAAGAAGAAGACAAATAAATTTTATTCTGGGACATTTAATACCCTAAGAATAATTATAATGAACAAAAAGATGACCATTGTCTGGAATTAAAGTAAATTAAATAAATAAAAAGTTTTGCTAACATAACATAATAATCTAACATTATAATTTAAAAAATTAAGTACAAGTAAATATATTAATTTGTTCATAAATATAAATGAGTGTGTTCACATATTTGTTCTGATTAACAATATTGATGATATATAAGTAACCGTAACATAACAGTCAATTGATGATGTCAGCTCTTAAATACGAAATTTTATTCTTACGTGTATTCGGAAGATTGATTGCTAAGGAGGTGGAAGAATAGCTTCCAATTCCAAGAATTTGCTGGAAGAATAAATGTTGTTTAAAAGAAATTAAGGAAGAAGATTTACGTATAGAGGTAGGTAAGGAATTCCATAAAAAGATAGCACGCATGATAAAGAATTTTTTAAAGGAAACGGTTCTATGAGAGGGAACAAACAGGTTTATGGACTGGGAACTCGTGTTAAACGAAAGAATAGAGGAACAAAGGGAAAACAAATCAAGGAGGTAAGATCGCTTTTTGGTTGTAAAGGTTCGGAAAAGGAATACACCTAAGAAATATTGCCGCCGGAAATTTAGATAGAGCCACATCAATTCAGCATAACAACTAGAGACGTGGGAGCGCCTGGTGACTCCAAAGATCAATCGAAAGAAACAATTCATTAATCTTTTCAATCTGATCTCAAGCCCAACAGACAGCCAACCGTATACTTTGGAAAATAGGTGTAAGGACATTGAGGCGAAAAGAAGCGAATAAAGACAGTAGCGTAGCTATATAAACCTTTTGAGGCCATAGTCGAATATATTTCTGAAGGTATATAAAAAATAAATAAAATCCCGGACTATACAAATATGACCTCTTGAGTAAGTTCGGTGTGAGTTTATTTTGAAGAGTCCCTAACAAAATAAAAACCAAATAAAAAGGCATTGTTTCATAAATTTTATCTATTTCTATAAAAGTATTTATTGTTTCTAATGACAGTTGAATAATTAGCCAGCTGAATATAAATTTAATATCAGGCACTTCCAAAAACAAAATAAATAAATAAACAAAATATTCTTCCATATTCTATGTTCTCTTTGTATTAACACGAACAATTAAATAGATTCAAAAACATAAAATTCCACTAAAAAATAAAAAAAAAATCTGATGGAAGCAAAACATTTTTTTTTTTTACAATGAAGTTATTTCATTTTTAAAAATATAAAATGAAATCACTATGATATGATTACAACTTGAAAAGTAAGGAATCTTTCTATGTGCTAAGAATATATAAAAAATAGCCACTTACTCTTGGATTGAAACATAACAAAACGCATTTCAGTTAGAATTTTTAAACCATGTAAATTTGTTAATACTCCTACATAATTTTAAGTTCTAATAATAAATTAACTAGGCAAGTTTAATTGGCAATTGTTTAAACAAATATGTTCAATAAAACAAAATTAATATGAATACAATTTAATATTTAACAATGGAAACCGTTCTCTTTGTAAAAGAGTTTCATTAGAATATCAAGAGTGAATACATTACCGAATTTTTCTCCTACATCCCTTCATTCATTGACGAATAGTGAATGAATCGTCGGAATGGCTCAAACATTCAGCAGTGAAGATTAGGACATAAAGCACACCTGTAAAAAAAGAGACAACACCAAAATACAGGTTTTAATAAAAACTAACTTATAAAAACTTCAAAACTTATTTTGATATAGTTTGTTTGTTTATTTAGGCTTTAAGGCGTAAAACCCTAGGGTAATTTTGATATAGTATAAAGATTGTTTTAAATTTCATTTACCTATGATTATGAATACTTGCCGAAATTTCAAACGATCTTTTTCAATATAAGTATTATACATGTAAATTTTATAGTATTTAAAGTCGATTTTTTTTCAGTCACTGTTTTTTTAACTGCGTCATATTTTTTACAGGAGTTCAAAAATATTACATTATGACTAAGTTTTTGATATTCTATGGGGTGACAAATCTGTTTCGTTCATTAAGATATTTAAATAAGCGTATTGTTAAAAGTATTTGAAGTTTTGTTCAGGGATGCCCACCCAACTCCAAGGTTCATCATCATCATGAATGGCTCTACAACTCTTTAAGAGTCAAGGACTCCCGCAATTTCAACCGCCAGTCCTCTCCAAGTAATGCTGCTGCCTTCCAGTTGTGGACATCAAGGATACTTCGGGCGTCGGCTTTCACTCCATCAGGCCATCTGAGTCTCGGGCTGCCTACCCGCCTTGTGGCGAAGATCCGCTCATCCATCAACTTCCGTAGCACATGTTGTTCAGGCATACGGATAATGTGTCCCGCCCATCTCAACCTGCCAATTTCCATTAGTCTCACAACATCGGCTTCTTTATATAGCTGCATCAGCTCATCGTTGGATCGCATTCGTCGCTCCTGATTAATATTTATTATTGGGCCGAATATTCTTCTTAGTACACGACGTTCAAACCGAAGAAGAGCTGTTTCTTGGGCTCTTGATATTGTCCAGCACTCCCACCCATAAGTTAGTACTGGTCCGATCAGGGTTTTGTACAAGAGCAGCTTGGTTTTACGAGTGATCACTCTACTTTTGAGATGTCTCTGGAGACCAAAATAAGCTCTATTTGCGGCTATAATGCGTCTCTGCATTTCTGGATTCATATCGTTATTTACATTAACTTGCGAACCAAGGTATATGAATTCCGAGACATCTTCAAAAGTTTTCCCTCCAATTTCTACAATTGCCTTTCTGTGGCCTCCATCCTTTGGGTCGGCCCGCATAAACTTTGTTTTCCTCTCATTGACTTTTAAGCCAATTCTCGCTGCTGCTCCTTGTAGCGCCAAGAAAGCATCTTTTATAGCTGCCCGTGTTCTTCCAACCAATGCAATGTCATCGGCAAACCCTAGTAATTGCACTGAATGATTAAAGACCTTTCCACCCATCTGAATCTGGGATCCTCTAATGGCACATTCGGGAGCAATGTTAAATAGAAGACACGCCAAGCAATCTGCTTGGAGCAGTCCCTTCTGCATTTCAAAGTCGTCCGACATATCACCTTGGATTCCATCATTGTCACTTGTATCAGTCGCACAAGTTGAGGTGGAACACCCAGGCTCAACATATTATGGTAGAGCTCATCTCTCAGGATGCTATCATAAGCTCTCTCAAAGTCCACGAAGAGGTAGTGTGTGCATACATTATACTCTGTTACCCTTTCTAGGATTATATTGCCGGTTCTAATAGCGAATATCTGGTCGACCGTAGATCTTCCTCGCATGAATCCAGGCTGATATATTCCTATTTCTCTCTCAGCGAACGGAAGTAGCTTCTGAAAGAGAATTCT